CTATGACTCCAGAAATATATAGGATGTTTTCTGAACCATATGTACATTTAAGTGCTTTAAGGAAAATAATTGTGCATCAGAGTCATACATTTCAAAATAATCCGGGGCTCTGAAGTTGTGCAGCTGTGTGAGCATGCTGGTTAACAGCAGACATTTCTTTTCCGCTTCCCATCTACTGATTAACCCAACTTCACTTTTTCCAGCTTTACTCAACTCTACACAAAGATCACATTTTTATCTTAACTTCCCTAATTAAATCATTACATCTATAAGTGATTGTTCTTTTTAATCATGCACTGATTAAAAGTGTCTGCTGTTTTTGTCTTTGAGGAATACAAAAGCCAAAGATAACTGCACTGTTTGAAATTCAGCTCATGTCATAAAATGTGAGTAGCAGGGAAACTCGATGGTTGACTGTGAAAACAGATGGGAGTGGATTTTACCCACAGCAACACATGTACTGCAGATTTAACATTTGGATATCCACAAGGCAGGAAGCTTGAACTGAACCGCCCAACAATGAGAACCACAACACAACACTACCCTATCTGACACAGAGTTAATTTTATGGAAAAGGATTGTTTCCAACCTCAGGAGGGCAACAGTGCTTGCATGTCAAACCAGTAGTCAGTTATCACATTCATTGAAAGAACAAAGAATCCTAATCCCTTTCTTGTTTTGCATGAAGGGACACACTGTGCTTTGCAAAAGTCTTCATTCTGTTGGAGCCTTTTTACATTTTGTCATCTTATAACCACAAACCTATCGGAATTGTACGTAGTTCGACACAAAATAGAGCAGATCTGTAAAATAGAAGAAAAATGACACACGGTGTTTGACAAAGTAAAAATCTTGATACTATAGGAGGCATTTTTGTTTGTGGTATTTCTTCAATTTTCTGTAAAGTCACCATTCTTGCTTTTGTCCTTGCCAACTTTAAATGTGTAGATATCAAACCTGTGCCTATTCGTCCATGCTACCATTCACACAAACCAGCTTCCCCACAACATAATGACACCACCACCGTGCTTCACAGCGGGGGTTGTATTAATTGTCTGCACACCTATGTTATATGCTGGGCAAAAGTTCAGGTGTGGTCTCTTTCACCAAAAAACATTCCTCCACATGTTTGTTGTGTCCCTTTCTTTCGGCAAACTTTAGAGACTTCTCATTGTTTTTCAACAGCAACAGCTTTCCACTCCCCAGTCCTCCATAAAAGCCAGATTTGTGGAATGCACAACTAATAGTTACAGATGCATTCTGACGTATAGGTCTCTGATCGTGTCCAGATTTACCATAAATGTGCTTGGCTGCTTCTGCTTAATGTTCTCCTTATCTAACCAGTCGTCTTTTGGAAGGTTGGTAGTTTACCTGTACTTGTCCACTTTTAAAGAAAGAGTTAAAACAGTGGTTCACTAGTTGTTTTATAGCCTAAGTCTGCTTTCAGCATCCAGACAGATATCTCTCAAACCTGGATTTATTTACTAATTGCATAACCACCTCAATTTGTATATAACTTGACAAAATGGGGGGGAATCACTGGCATGTGAATATTTTTGTGAAGCATTACATCTAAAAACATTCACATTTTGTCTAAATTCACTTTGTAGCTTGAAGATATTTGAAACAAAACGTCTCCATTTGTCAGTGGAACTCTCAAGTGGGAAATTTGAGGTTTTCCACCCTACGCCATCCATACAGTCACTGATGCAGTCACTGATGACGCAGTTTCGATCTGCTAAATGCTCTTCTTTTCATGTGTCTATTGTCAAGGCCTCTCTGACCATAAGCTACAACCCAAAGTTAAGCCTCTAGCTTTGAATTAGAAAAGCCAAATGATCACCATTCTTCTCATGTTGATGGGAAGAGCTTTCCCTTGATGGCCGGCTATCATTTGTCTGTTGTTTGCTTGCTGTGGGTGAATATGACTCAGTCCCATGACTGCTATCAATCTACCCCCATCCATTTGATTGGGTGGGGGCAGACTGATACACTGATGGAAAGCTTTCAGGTGCTTTCTTTAGCACCTGAAAGCCTTTTGTGTGACTCAAAAGGTTGCCATTACCCTGATTTGATTTTGGACTGCCACAAAAACACTTTCCAAAAGGTTTTGTCAAAGCAATCTAGCTGTGTTTTATCTGCGGAACCAAGTTATTTATATTCAAGAGATCATCGAGGCATATTCTGTTTTACAATTCTCACATATCCTTTTCTGTTTTTGCGCATTGTATTTTACTGCCGTATCTTTTTGTTGCACCGACTTTATACGAAACTGTCTGCCTTGAATACTGGTAAAACACGCTGTGGCATTTCAAATACACCCAGCGACAGACGGCAAGCAGAGCAAGCCAATGCATCTGGTTTTTTTTTTTTTTTCTGTCGTTTGGATGCTTGTGAAATGCCACTACACAAACAGACACACTTGCAGAAACAAAGCAAAACCTTATCTCGAGCACATAAACAATGTTTTTCTCCAATAAACACAAACCTGGTACAGGCAGAACTAGGCCTATTTCCTGGGTATCTATTGACCGCATAGTTTCACTGTGTGGGGGCTGGGATGTTGCTGTAAAGCAAGTGATTTGGGGGTGAAACTGACCCTCATGCATATGAGGTTGATGCTTTCTACCATTCATTTCTTTTGAATGGTAGAAAGCGTTATTTTTTTTGTTTCTTCTCCTTTGTAACTCTCATAGTTGTTCCCTCACACCAAGTTTACACACTGGTTAGTTGTTCTGCGACTTTTGGGTGGAGGAAATCTCCTCGTTTCAAATTGGTATCAATAATTTCTCTTTCTCTCTTCCCATCCAAACCTCTTCTGTTTTGACTTGGTTTGGATTATATTCAGAAGCTTCTTCATAAACAGAAATTGTTGTTGCTTTAAAATTATTAAGTTCTTTAATTACATATTTTTAATAATGGTGAGATCTGCAATCGTAACCTTGACAGTGATAAGCATTTGCCTATAAGCAGCATAAGAATCAGCCTTTTGGTGTTTACTTTTTTTCTCAAATTTTGACATTTTTAATTCCATTCTTTAAAAGTGTTTGTAATGACAGAAAAATGGATTCACATTTATTGCATATTGAGTAAGACCTTCCTTATTATTATTTTTTTTTGGTTTCTTTAAAAATTCTGGCAAACAAGAGGCAAAATGCATCAAACCCCAGAAAATGATTTGAAGCCTCTGAAAGTCTGCAGGCCAAAAACACGACTGAAACCAAACAAGCCGTTTTTCCAGCTTTGCTCGGTTCATCTTGGCCACGAAACACGAGAGAGGCCATGCTCATTCCAGCAGAGGTGTGATGTAGCAAAAACGTGTCGACAAATAAATATTTTAATGAAGTAAGCACATATTTTAATGACTAGAATCTGTTTAGAGTACTATATAAGATGTGTGTTATCCAGCGGAGCTGAATGGAAAGAGTTGTGCTGCGAGTGAGAATCTGGGCCTATTGTTTGGAGCGTATTACCTTTATTACTGTTCACTATACTCTGGTTACAATAAAGACAGTGTGCAATACAGAGTAATGGGGTTCTTTGCTATTAAAAGGACACTGTCTTGCATCTCTCCCCTTGTGCTTCTTACAGTTATCGTCTGTACATAAGAATTAAACCAGATTAAATATTTCATCTTTTACAATATTGTAAACCTGTTTATACAGTTTCAAGGTTGTTGACATGTATACTGCAGATGCGCAATGTTCAATAAAGTGCACAAAATACTTTCTCAATCACTTTTCGTGACTTTGTTTTGTTTTCTGTTTACAAGGCCGTGCATAAGTAGTCAGCTTTCTCTGATATGCACCAGTTTCTTAAATTAGTGTGAAGATATGCATCAATATTGGAGCTGAATGAATGTTACAAAATGCAAAAGAAAAAAAGAAGTTTTGGGATTTAGAATGGTTTTAGAAGAGTTAAAACAGGTTTAAATGTTTAAGCAAGAAACAATTTCATGATGAGAGAAGACAGTAAGCTTGTAATTATGTAATAATCATGTTTATTCAGTTACAAAGTATATAAGTGATACACTTACAACTTACTTCCAAGCTGTCAGACTAAGGTTTTAGTCAGATGATATCAAAATCTTAACTTTGCAGATACTTTTCTGCAGTGCGGATGGGGAAGCCGGACAGATGGATTGGGCTAAATGCATTGGGTAATCCTGGAAAAGAAACTGGTTTAACAGCCAGACTTGAATATGTGCAAACACTCTCAATCCCATCTGACTGATCTAAAAAATATTTGTTCATAGATGGTAAAGCGATACCTTAAGGATCTGCAGCTTAATACATGTGCACCCCACAGGTTTCAGTGTTGTTCATTCTTTTTTCACTCTACAATCTCTGCCTGGAAGGGGTCCAGAGATATAAGTACCTATGAAATGGTAGACCGTCATATTACTACCAATGTCAGTTATAATATGTGTGCTTTCGGTCAGTTTGGGCTCTTGGTCCAGGGCCACATTGAAGCAGACTTATAACATTCAGTTCAAACCACCAATTTTCATTTTGCTGCTACTTTTCTAACATTTGTTTTTATTGACATCGCCTTATTCTAGAAGAGGCAGTTTATTACACACATTTTTTATGATTTATGTAAAGTGAGCATTCACATTGTTATGTAAAATAACAGAAACCGTTTTCGACAGGCTGGGATAATTAGATGTATTTTTTTTTTTTTTTACTTAAAGCGCACAGGAACCTTAACCATCCAGGGGAAAAAAAAAAAAAAAAAAAAAAAAAAAAAACGCACCATTCTTTCTTTGACCCACAAACGTTACATTTTGAATGAATAGGTTCACCCGTCCATCACAACAACACGAAACCAGACCGCTGTCCGAAGAAGAACTGCGATTGGCTGACCGCTCTCCAGGAGCAAGAGTCCTGGAAAACGATTGGCCCACAGCCGCCAGTGGAGGCGGGCCCACTTCAGTGCGACTGTCAAGATTGGCAAAGCGGTGGCTTGCTGCTGCCGTGTGCAGGTATAAGGAGCAAGGCGACAAGAGGAAAATCAAGAGCCGAAAAACATTCATCCTGGCAGACGGCGAGGAGTGCGATGGAAACGCGGGAGCCCTTTTATGCGAAGCAGTGTGAGGAGAAGAGGTTTTAAATCCGCGTCCCGAGGCTGCAGCACACCTCTCGGTAGCCTTAGCGGAAAGTGTCGCTTTGTGAGTGGAAGCAACTTGGACAGCTGCGTGTTTTCAAGCGGAGCCATCAACAAAGAATGAAAGCGTTGAAACGAGGTGAGCGCCGACCTGACCGTGTTTTCTACTCTATCCCACTGACTTTAAAAAAAAAAAGACAACAACAACAAAAAACAGATAAAAATCCTTCCCAGAATTGTGCGTCTGCTGGCTCTGTCTGGCTTTTGCCGCGGACTCTTTGCCTGGTATGCAGAGGGTTTTTTTTTTATGTTGGGAGCAAATGCAGCGTGTGTTTGTGTTTGAATTTGGAGGGACAGCTAGCCAGCTAGTTCTCTCTCTGTCTCTCTCTCTCTCTCTCTCTCTCTCTCAGTGTCTCTCTCTCTCTGTCTCTCTCTCGCTCGTGCTGTCCATCTGGCGGAGCGGCATGCGGGGAGGCTGTGCGTTTCTCCCTGCCTCCTTTGTGCGCTCCAGATGGCTCGGTTACCATTTTTTTTCCCCTTTTTTTTTGGATCGACTGCTTTATCACAGCTGTTTCAGACACGTGTATATGTTTCTCAAACTAACTTGTTTGCACATCGATCCATTAGTAGAAAAGTTTAAATGACATCATTATCTTAAACTTTTATGTTTTTTTAACGATTTTCTGCTGCTGTGTGTGTGTGTGCGTGTGTGTGAAAAAAAACAACAAGAAGTTGGTTTGTTTGCAGCCGCAGTGATTTACCACACAGCCCTCTGCTGGTGGTGTGACCCTTTTCTTTCTTTTTTATCTTTGATGTATTTTCTTAGCTGATCCAATCCCATTCATCTGCCGCTGCGGTGTTTAAGATAAAGCCCCGCTGTCAGCAGCGGAGTTGTAGGATCACGCACAGCACGTTTCTTCAGGGGACCGTCCTGACCACATGAAAAGAGCTCTGCGGTCAGGGATCACAACCGTGATACAAAAGTAGCATTTCTCAACCTATACTCTTCTAACACGTGCGCTGTTTAGTTAGAAGATGTTCATTTTGCACATGTGTGCGGAGCAAAAAAACAAACAAACAAACAAAAAAAAAACAGACCACTTCCGTCTTTGCATGGTCAATAGGTTTCCTGGGCCCACTTGGCTGCTGTGATGCTGATATGCTCCCAATCTCCTTTGTGAGGACAGGCGCTGCCCCCAGGGTCAGGTTTCAGCCCAGCTCCCAGAGAAAGACATTTACTGCATTCTGCGGCCCACCCCTTTGGGATCAGGCATGCTCCATTTTGTGGGGAGATTTCCTCCCTTGACCCGCCGTGGATTCATTCTGAAACAAATCTAAAATAAAAAATAAAATAAATTGGTGAGGGGGGGGGAAGAAAGCAGTTGGTGGAAATGGTTCTGGATGCAAACGTAGCTTTGTGTTGACTTGCATGTAAAGCGGAAACCAGTTGGATTGGAATGCTTTTTCTCTTGCTATTCATTTTTCTCTCTTGACTAGAGTTCAGGTTGTGTGTGAGGTCATTTTCAACTTCCAGTTTTTGGGTGGAAGAAGCAACTCAAAGTTGACTGTTGGGTGTTTTGTTTTTTAATAAAGTAAATGAAACTAGGGACATATTTCATTAGGGCTGCAAAGTTATGGGAGAGTATGACAACATAGTGCTACACCACATGTTTTATATATATATATTTCAATTTTTGTCTTGGAACATGTTGGATTTCTAATACTGGCAGCATGTTTGAAACTTCAAGGTTAAAGTCTTATTTTTTTAATGTGGCGTTTAGCAAGGCTCGCCACACTAATCCCAAAGTGTTTTAAAAAGTCAGTGTATTCATTTTGTCTTTGTTTAAAGGCAGTAAAAATCCACGATGTCTTTGTTCTTTGAGAATTGTCAACAGCAGGAAAGCTTTGGGGTTGGAAACAGAACCATGTCTTTGAAATTACAGTTCAGCTCAGAAACAAATCATTTCTGAGAAAAGGAAACTACTGATCTAGTTTATATCAGTGCAGCTTCAGTGGTGGCTGCTTTGGTTTCCCACCAAGGTCTGTGTTTAAAGACGTTCTCGTCTTCTCCCCAGCTCTGGAGCATGACCAGCATCCCGAGCAGGAGCACTCTTCGGCCGTGTCGGACAGCGACGACGGCTCCCCGCTCGACCTGTCGGGGAGAGGGGTCCTCGGGAAGCGCCGTCGCCGCGGCAACCTGCCCAAGGAGTCGGTTCAGATCCTCCGCAGCTGGCTGTACGAGCATCGCTTCAACGCGTACCCATCGGAGCAGGAAAAGCTCAGTCTTTCCAACCAAACAAAACTGTCTGTGCTGCAGGTAGGATGATTTATTTATGTTTGGGTTTTTTGTATACATGTGGTGTTTTCAGAACCTGCCAGAGGATTGTAATTTTTCTTGTTTGCTGCAATTTGTTCAGTTACGTCGTTTAAAGTAACTGAACAAATGAATGGCAAGAAATAGCATTTCTTGATGACGTTCACCTGAAACGTACTGCTTGTGTAATTTCAGGACAATATCTTATGTCATTGAAATGCGTGAAGACAGACTGATGGTGCTGCAGACACCACTAGCATTCTCCCACCCTTCTCTTTCTCACTTTGTTGCATCAGTAGTAGACATTTCCTCTTTCCTTCTCGACGCACAGGCAGATTACAGAGTAGCTGGAGGCGGCAGCAGTTCCTTGTTATGTAGTCAGTTCACTGGAATGCGTTTGGCTGCCTTCTCTGTGGCTCAGCATATTTCAGCTCAGACCTTCATTATTGCCAGCTGTCTGAGCACTTTCAGCGCTCTGCTTTTCTCCTCCCGTACCAGTAGAGGGAGTCTGGACGGAAAAGGAGAGGGATTGCACAGTTTTACGATCTTGTGGAATAATTTTATTTATATATTTTTAGGTCTGTTTTAGTTTTTGACAGTACTTTGCAAATGTATTCATCCACTTTTTTTTTTTTCACATTGCGACCAGAAACCTGAATGCATTCGGTTGGGAGTTCTCAACATTTACAAATGAAAGTTTGGGTTAAAGTTGTGGAGAAATTACAAATTGGGTTAAATCATAAAATCCTATCTGAACATCCGACTCTGTGTCACCGCAAGTAAACCCTCACAAAAACAAATACTGCTCTTGGAAATACAACATTAGCATCTGTAAAATGCTTTGAATTTAGTGACAGCAGCCTAAAGTAAAAGTGGCACCAGTTGTTAATCGCAAACCTTAGGCACAGTTGTCGAGGACATAGTTTATAATACCATCTTATTCAAATAGCTTTCATAAGCTTGTCTCAAAAAGAAAGTGCTTATTTATTTTTTTTTTTGTGAGTAATTTTTGTCTGTTTTCCCAGATCTGCAACTGGTTCATCAACGCCCGCCGTCGCCTTCTGCCTGATCTGCTTCGCAAGGATGGCAAAGATCCCACCAAGTTCACCATCTCCCGCAAGATCGTCGTTAAAACCGAGGCCCATCAGTCAAACGGCGGTGAAGCCGGCTCTCCCGACGCCTCAGCTCGCTCCCCTCAGCCGCGTCCATCGGTAATCCGCTCCGCGCCCGCTTTGGACCTCAGCCTGCTGGGGAACACGGCGACGGCCATCCTCATCGGAGCGGGCTATCCTGGAAATGAAGGGTGTGTGCAGGCACTCATGACGATGGACACACAAACCCTGTTGAGGGAAGCAGTAGAAAGAGGCGCCTACTCAGCCGGCCTGACAACAGGCGTCACTGTAGCTGCGAGCCACTCCAGCGGCCTTCTCAACACGCCTCCCCCGACTCCGCCCGACCTCTACACGGGTCACGACTTCAGTGACCTGAGGCTGCTGGCTGATGCCGCTCTACAGAGAGCTGCAGAGCAGGACCTGCTCAAGGAGAGCCAAAGCAAACCAGCAGAGCCTTTCAATGCCAAAGCGGCGGATGCAAACAAAAAGGGCCCAACCCCGCCTCCGGAGGAACAGGTCATGCATCCTGCCAGAGTGCAGAGTCTGATGGAGAAGGTCATGTCTGTCCCAGAGCCGGTCAAATCTCCAACAGTTGCTGCTCCACTTTTGCGCCCAGCCTCCAAGTTATCCCCTCTACCAGTAAACAAAGTGATATGGAGCCCCTTGGATAAAGACACTGTCAGAGCATCCAGCTCAAACCAACCTCATCTCATCCCAACACACCTACCAGCTGTAGTGCCAGTATCTGCCATCATCCACAAGCCCCCCTCGATCCCTGTGACTCCCCCCACCACGCTGCCCACTTCATCCTCTGCCTCATCCGCATCTCCAGCGCCAGCAGTCACGCCTCTCCTGAGCCTCGCCTCCCACCTCGCTCCTCATACCTCAGGGAGCAGCGGCTCAGCCAAGGCGCCGAAGGTTTGGAGCCTGGTTCACCCCAACGCCAGGCAGGCCAGTTCACTCCAAGTGGTAAAGACCCCCATCAACACGGTGTGGGGGCCACAGCACAGCCTGCACACGCTGAGTGAAGCTGTCAACTAGAAGCTGCTGCTGTTTTTTCTTCTTTCTTTTTTTTTTTGTTTTGTTTGGTTGGTTGGGGGTTTTTTTTATGTAAAAACATGAAAAGAACGCGAGGACAGGTGTGTTTTATACAGCTGGACTTTAACGTTTACAGGAGAATGTATCTTGACGTGACGCCCGAGCTTGGCAAGAGTTTGAAGTTTTATCGCGGAGGAAGGTAGAGACCGTATCATTCCTACGCTCTCGAGGTGTTTCTGCAACGGATTCTGATGTCATCGTGGGGTTTTGGGGTGTTACAGGAATGAACAAATAGAAAAGTATTCCTGAATTGTACAAACATTTACCAGCGTTTCCAGTAGCAGTGCTGGACTTTAGTGAATGTAAAAAAAACAAAACAAAAAAAAGGTGACCTCCCTGGATAGGAACTCTGCTGCCCTTTATTCAAGCTTCTGGATAAAAAGCACATTTTCTTAGAACTCTTTTAGTTATGTGCATTTAAAATGATCAAGTTGTTCTTTTTTTTTCTTTTTTTATAAAATGAGCCTGTAATTTTTATTTTTTTTCTTTTTCTTCTTTTTTTTTTTTGACATGGTTCTCTGCTTCCCATTTGGAAACTTGAGCCAAAGAAAAATCCAAAACACAGCATCACGTCTCAGTCAGCGACTCCCTTGATCCTCCTTACGGCCGCGCGGTTTCACGAATCGTCATCTCAGCTGCGCTGTGCATGCCTTCTCGCACGATGCATCATTAACTCTTTGCCGCTGGGAGGTTTCTGGTGTTTTTCCGTTTCCATTTAAAGCAGGTGCGCAGGTTGCTTTCTGTTGGAATCCCTCTCGATGTATTATTTGGAGTCCCCTGACGTTTGCGAGGCCTTAGAGTTTCTGTTTCTCAGATCCGAATGTTGTGGCGCAAATCTGTATTTCATACAGGTTCTCGACAGAGCAAATGTAGCACATTTTTTTTATTTCATTTTTTTTTGTACGCCTAGAAAAAGTAGTTTTTCCACATCTGATAGTTTAAAAGTGGTTTCTACAGAGTTTCTGCTAATCCATGAAGATGTAGTTTCTGTGAAACTCCCCCCCCCATCCCCAAACATTTAATATTGGTAGCTGTGAGTGTCTGTGTGGGAGTTTGGCAGAGGGCTGGACTCCTTTCTGGTCAATACTGTAGCACAATTATTGATTAATGTTTACCAGGTCACAAAGCTGTGTTTAATTCAGTTCTGTTGTATTCATGCGAGTGGTTGTCAACAGAAGAACATATGTTACTTTTACTTTTGCCGAGCAATGAACACTGCCACCATTCCAAACAAAAAAAGGAAAGAAAACCCTCCAAACTTTTCTCCCACATTTTCTTCGCCGTGTTCCACTCTGTGCCACAAAGTTAAAGGTTAACGTTTGCTTTTGTTGCAGAAGCAGAGTAGACCGGTGTTCATTTATACCTCAGTTGTCGGGCTTAAGTTATAGTTTTATTTTTCAAACTGCATAAATACACTGTGATGATGCCTTCGAGGTCATAATACTGGGAAAGGCTGGCTAAGATTTTAAGTAGCGAGGTTTTAGACATAAGCTGACACTTCTCAGAAAGAAAACAATGTGCTGATGTAAATATGTGGAAGGTTGAGGTTTTATTTGTATTTTTTTTTATGTTCTTATTTACTAGTATGAGATTCATTCTCAAAATGTAGTTCTTGTCCAACCAAATGCATTTTGAATTTTTTTTTTTCTTTTTTTCCCAACTTCATGTCACAAATTATGACTCCAGGCAGTGTGACTGGCTGCTGTGCCTTAAGCCTTTGAATGAGGGAGGAAGTCCCTCTTTTTTTTTTTTCTTTTAAATATGTATTAAAAACTCAATAGTCTGTGCAATATACGCCTTAAACTTTAAATGTCTTTTTTGTATGAACATTTCAAAGAAATAAAGGTTTGTTTTTTTCATATGTACGTTTCGCTTTTTATTTTTATCCTTGCTGAAAAAAATGTGCTTTATGCAGCTCACTGGCTTTATGGTAACAATTGTATGCCATCCATGATCAAATCTGGTAATATAAATGGACCTGGTTCACCTTTCATGTTTTTTTTTTTTTCTGGTGATTAAGACATTTAAAAATGATGCAGTCTCACCCTTTAAGTGCAACACCACACCGTTATTCTGAGGCATTTAACTCTTCTTCTGAAATGTGCTGTGTCTAATTCCGTACCGTTTCTATTCCCTCTTTGGTTGTACGGCTATACGGACGTCAAAGACCCTGATTGCACTTTGCTAGAAGTTTGAGTCTGAATTTGAGTTAAATCATCTTTTAAATGGCAGAACAGCACTTCAGATACTGAAAAACATTTTTCCAATTTAAGTCAACATTGAACTCAGTAAAAAAACAAACTATTTTAGATAGATACTGTGGTGGAGAATCCAATAAACACTTTCATTTTTAAAATCTAGAAAGAATTAAACATTTTGAGTTTTTTTTTTTTTATTTTTGTTAAAAAGCTAGTTTAAATGAGTAACGCATTCTTCATTTGCCACATACATGGTCCATTTACTACAGGAGCTGTAGCGTACTTTATTAGTCTGAGCAGATTCATGATCGAGTTCCTTCTTTAGCAAACATTCCTGATCCTTCAACCAATGCAACCAGCTGATGAAGCAAAGCATCCGCTTTTTGCCAGGAGGCGATTCTCACTGCTTGACCGTCAAAATCAAATAAACAGTTTTTACAACCCTACAAGAATACAAAGACAAAGGAGCCACGTGGCAGTGCTGAAGCATCTGTGGTAGTTATAAGGCAGGCAGGAAGGGGTAATCATCGCTGTGTAACACTGAAGCTGAAAGTTCATACAGTCCCCGCACTTATAAACAAACAGCGGTGTGCAATGCATCACAAAAATCTTACTAAGTTGCCTACAAATACCAGTCAAAGTGCAGTTAATGTAGTTTGAGCTGCAGGAAGTGTAATGTATAATGTGGATTAAATCCTCGATGAACACGTTTACCATCAAATATACAATCCAATTTAAGGACATGTATGGTGATTTTTGTTTTATTTACTTCTAATATACACTGTGAGGGGAGGGAGTGGCGAGTATCTGTGGTGCAGCATGTGAGCGGGAGCCAGAAGCAGCCGTTCTCCCTCTATTCATCGTCCTTGTCCTTTGCGCCGTGTTTGAGGATGCGAGTGAACTCAGCGTAGTTGAAGTTGCCCTTCTTGTCGATTGGCGCCTCACGGAACAGCTCGTCCACCTCTTCATCTGTGAAGCGATCGCCCATGGTGGTCAGCAGCTCTCTCAAGTGGTCCTCGTGGATAAACCCTAATTAAGCAGATGGCATCCACTGAATAATAAAACACAGCCCCTACGACTGTTGTGCAATATGACGTGGTCCTTTGTGGACATGCAGACTCACCAGATCCCTCCTCATCAAAGCAGGCGAAGGCGTTGCGAATGACATCCTCGGGGTCCGTCCCGTTGAGCCGCTCTCCGAACATTGTGAGGAACATGGTGAAGTTAATGGGCCCCGGAGCCTCGTTCATCATTCCCTCAAGGTATTCATCCGACGGGTTCTTACCTGTGAAGCAGGTTAAATGACATTCTGTGCTATTCATACCCCTTTTTTTACTTTGTATAAACAACCTGAAATTTGTATGTGTATTGGGACTTCATGTGAAATACCAATGTAAAATTGTAAAGGAGGAATCTGTGGCTGCTTTTGTATTTGCAACAATGACTGAAAGTCTTTTAATGTGCGTCACTTTCAGTTCTGGAGACTGAAATCGTTGCCCATTCCACTTTGCAAGATTGCTCAAATTGAGTCGGACTCGATGATGAAGCTCCTGCAAAGTTCAAGTGATTTGGAGCCTGTAGTCAGGAAAGCATGATGCTGTATTTCACCCTGATGATGCTGAGTTCAGGGGTGCTGACCTGGCCCATCTGCTGTGCTCCTTATTTTATCATTTATAAAGAATTTTAAAAACAATACATATGCTTCCATGTAATTATGCAGTACTTTTTGTAGGTTGAACTCACAAAATCCAAGTAATACAGTCGAGTTCTTGGTTGTACTGTTAATAAAGAGCTATTAATACTTCTGCAAAGCATTGTACAAACAAACATGTAGCAATATTTGGTGGGTGAGAAATATTGAGAATAAGGATTCCAACTTAAGTTGAATTTTGATTCAACTTAAGTGCACCATTTTGTTTTAGCCACCAAATAGTGACTAAAAAATATATACATATATATATTTTTTTCCCCTTTACCCAAAGAGGCCAGCATGTCATGCAGATCCTCCTTGTCGATGAAACCATCCCTGTTCTGGTCGATCATGTTGAACGCCTCTTTGAACTCCTGGATCTGGGACTGGTCAAACATGGCAAAGACATTGGAGGTGGCCCTCTGTGGCCGCTTCTTGGTGGTCTTCCCCTTGGCACGTTTGCTAGACATGGTGACGGCTCGATCTGGACCTGTGCAGAGATATTCATCACGTCAAAGGTAGATTAGACAAAGCTTCGCTGACACACGGCTTCTTGTGAATGCACAAATGAAGCTGGTCTACAGTGTGCCATTTAGTGCCAAGAAAGAACCGGATCTTCCATAGATCTAGTCCGCACTTGCGGGAGAATCTTTTCCAGCTTTTCCTCTGGAGAGAGAATCACATTCTCGGTGAAATGGCAGGCACTTTGATGGGTGTGAAAATGACATGTCACTGCAGCAACACACCTCAGCAAACCGCAGATAGTTCCAGAATTAGACCCGTCACTCATGTTCAGCTCTATAAGGATTTATAATTCGTTTGTGTGTGCACATGCGTGACCCCCAGGGTAAATGGCTGATAGAGGACACAGGCGTAGGCTGGTTTGTGCAGGAAAGTAAATGAGGCCAATTATTCACATAGAAGAATGACATCACTTCTAGACAAGCACAGAAATGATGTAATGCAAATGTCTTTATTGCAACAAAAACATATTTTTAAAAGTCTCAAGCTTAAGATGAATACGTTATCTCAAACACTGATAAATGGTCTTTCTTTTAATTTTTGTTTTATGCTCATTGTGTTGTTTTAATCTCTGACTAACATCAGGCAGAGCGATTACTGATGCTTACTACCAATAATAAATGTAACTGGTACATTTTAGTTGTTTTCTAGTTTATCAAAGTCACTACCCCCTTTTTAAATTAAAAATCTGAAGTAAAATTCTCCTTCATATCTATTTTTTCTTTTTTATTTAGGCACACGAAAGGTGTCAACCTGTTTAGTTCTGTCCAATGAAACAATCCAAGATGAATTTTAAAGTGGCTTACAGCTGCATGTCTGCTTAATGTTTCTATTAAAGGTTGGGCCCGATTGAAGTGTATGGACACATTATGATGACTACCATGTAAAGTGAATAATACTGGCCCTTTCTATTTAAAACCATTACACCAGATATTTGGAGGGACACATTAGACAACAAGTGAACATCGCCTCCTCAATTTTGACATAGTAGAAGCAGAGACGACGGGCAATCCTAGCAGTTTGAGCGAGTTTGAAAAGAGCCAGATGGTGATGTCTGGACGACTACGTCTGAACATCTCAAACCCTGCAGCTCTCTGGGGCTTTCAGGTCTACAGAAGTCGAAATTGTGCAAAAACAAAGAAGGGTGGAGATGAACGCTCTCGAAAAGCCAGTTTTGTTAACCCATTTACGCCACATCATTTATCTCTTTGGTACCTATGTGTGACAGTGTCTCTGTATTTAATAGAGCAGAGCAAAGCCGAATTACTGTGCAAGTTAGCCAAGACAAAGAAAAACAAGAGCAGCAAATAAAATGGGTTTACTCTGCTTCTCATCACTCTGGGCTGCAGATACATGTCCTGTCGTCATTGTATTTATAGAAATTAATGCAACTGTACCTCATTCATACTTTTATAGCCAATGCAAATGTGGCGTGTCAGATCAGTTTATGGTCTTAACAGACAACTCAGTTGTGACCTGAAGTTTACATGAAGAGATTATGGATCTCAATGTTTGCATTTCCTCTATATAGATTCAAAGCAAAGAGAGGAGCCTTCACTGTAGGAAAGTTCACAAAAAAGTGCACTGTGAAAAACTGTTTCACAGTATTGATCTATTATAGTACTAACAATTTTGTTTGTATGCAGCAGAGAGTGACAGGGAAGATATGTATTATAAATGGAAAAAAAAAAAAAACTGTTGAACAAACCAGATGACGTACTGAAAGAAACAATTAATGTACTTGTTAGTTGTGATTCAACCACTAAGCGTCTAGCACAGGTATAAAACTGAATTCTAGATGGGAAATGTTTGAAACTGGATTAAGTATTTAATATCATACTTTGGTGAATGAATTACAAAATATCGCCTCTGGTTGTCTCGTCCGTTTGAATAAGTCAACTTGAGTAAAAAAATAAATAAATAAAATAAATTAAAAAATGTCGGATTAAAAATTTTCCTAAAACTTAGGAGAATTAGACAATTTGTCAAGGACATTTTTAAAATGTGCTGAATCATAACTAGTTCAAGTCTACTCATGCAGATTAAAGTTTACCAAAACAAAACAGAAGCAGATTTCTTCATCAGTTTTAAATTCTAGCGGTTTATTCTACAGCCTTTATTGATTTTGCCTACCCCTTGGCCGCTCTACTCCCTGCGTGTCCCGGCTAATTAAAAGAAAAGACCAAAGGTGCGCACTTTTGGCCGCTGGCGCTTCCACTCCTACTCCTCACAGGAAGCTGGAAACAAAACCACCATGAAGAGGCAATGCTACATTTCAGGAAGCAAGGAGTTCCTCCATTCATTTAATGCTTTTCCCTTCATTCTTTTTGGAAGATGCACAACACCCAGTTTTTATCTGGTGCAAATACAAGTACGTCAGACATAATGTACTGTACATAACATCTTCCTTTCGGTGATGTTACCGCACTACATTCAGGCCTGACATTTAAAACACTTGAGGGGTCTTTTCTTTAGAAAGCACATATACAAAAGTGGCTTCTTAAATACTTGGCCTACAAATAATGTTAATGTGTTCCTCTTAACCTATTGCAATGCATGAAAAAAAAAAAAAAAAAAAAAAAAACTCAAGTAAAGCACCGAAACCGACTTTAGTTCAGGAGCCCACATCCTCCTAAATCCAACTTTGCCTGAAAAGCTTGAAGCAATTTAGTTAAGGTCCTTTATAACACCCCATCAGATGCTTTATATTCATTTTAAGAGCTACATGTAACACACACAAAAAAATTAATGACATGAACTTATAACTGATTTTGCAGATTATTATTTTTTCCAACTTTGGGATGCAGTGTTCACAAGATTAACGTAATGAAATCTTGCTTTGAAGACATATGTTGTTAGAGATACACTTACTAAAGACGAGAAGTACATGATGTAAAAAGATACCTTTATTTTAACTGCACGAAAATACAGCAAACCTATTTCAGAAGGACTGAATTAATAAACATAACATGTAGGTCTGGATTAAAGACTTTAAGGCCTGTAGCAGACATTATTAATGTAAGACATTTTAAGCCTGATACACAATAGAAATGGTCAAGCTTTTAGTGCACGGACTTTACCTTTAAAGAGTCAACGTGAATAAGAATTTATATTCAAACCAGCAGTGAATTGTTGGCAAGAACAACAAAAAATAACCACAAAATGTCCTCTGTCCATCACCGATTCCCTTCATCCTTTCATTCTAAGTGGGCCAAAACAAAAGCTCCCCTGTCCTTGGACCCAACAGGAACAATCGCTGTCTCACTCCATCTCACCAACTTTGAGACATGAAGGTCAGCCGGTGCTTGAGTGTGAAAACTCAAAGACAAGACAGTCACACATACCAAGAACAAACAGAGACGGCATCTCAGGTGAATGTAAGGAACTGGCCAGGTGCATTTAGAAGATCCTTTGTGGTGGAAATGCACATAAACCAGACAAGCTCACAGTTCAACTGGCACATGATGAACACCCTATTAGTCTCCTTCCACTGCAGGAAATCTCCACAAATGTTCTCTCCTCAGCTCCGACTCCTGAGATCTTACCTCACCGAACTACCTAAAATAAAGCAAAGAGAGCCTTTGTTGCTCTTAAAGAGCTACGAGCCAGCTTTCATTCTCACCTCGGCTTCAAGCTGAAAACGAAGAGAGTCTTTTCAACTCCTTTTGTCCCCGGATCCGTCACCGCAGAGCGAAAGGAGGCAAGCGGTCCTGCTCAAAAGTTTGCTCAAACAATCAAACTCCCCCGGTCAGGCCCCGCCCCCTTTTCCTGCTCGGACCAATGGGAACAGCAGCGTGTCCCGTAGGGAGACGTCCCGGGCCCAGGCCATTTGTCCATACATGGCAAAGGAATGCAAAAAGCTCCGGCCTCGCTGCCGCCGCGGTCTCTCTTCGGGATGTTTGGCGAAAAGGCAGAGATGAAATGACAGGAACTGCGATAAGGCCGCCTTATTTAGAGAAAGGAGTCTAAACATTTCGGAGGCAGGGGACGGTGGAAGCATATCGAGGGAGCGAGGGAGCAGTGAGGAAACGCAGACGGAGTGTCTGTTGGAACAATAAGTGCCCTTAAATAGGCAGCGAGGCCGCGCGCGCCACTCAGGGGCCAGCATTTAAAAACGATCACCTGAAATGATGCTTTCAGGGACCAGGAAGTGTCTCCTCATAAAACTGGGATCATTTTCTTCACAGGAATCATAAAGTATCTGATTTAATCGTATCTGTTAAATGTCACTGATTCTTTTTTTTTTTTAGTTCTTTGTAAAAATATAAGCTCTCCCCCTCATTGTTTGGGCAGAATCATGTTAAGACTTTAACGCAGCTTTCTTTCACGGGTCTTTAATACATTTTGCACGTTTTTTGTTTTTTTGTTAAGAAAAATAAAATACAGTTGTCTAAAACATGAACATTTACTTGCATATGAGTGTGACTTAAGTGTATAACTAATAAATCGTTGTTCCCTTCTCTTTTTAGATCTATTGCTAACTCACCAATAATAATCGGATTCATGTTTTAATAGAATATCGTTTAAATGACAATATTTGTATTTAGAAACACAGAATTAAACCCTTTTTGTCAATAAAGGGGATACATTCAATGTCCAACCGCGTGCTCATTAAAATCAGGTTCACCTGTGGTGCAATGTCGCCATCTACTGGGCTACATTAGTATTCAAATTAAAATTCATCAAACCGCGGTATGGTGATCGCATTAAGCTGAAAGAAAATTTTAATGAAATATAAAGTACTGCGACAAAAGTTTTGACTCTTTTTAGGTGTATTGACCTTTTTGATTACTCCCTTACTTCAATGTTCCAGACGGTCAAACAGTTAAAATGACAAGAGGTAATAATTTCACACCCTGGCCCTATTTTAAGTAACTGACCCCCAAAGAACTAACAACTGGTTGGAAGAACAATTGCAATAATGGGAACAATGGGAGTGATCACAATGTTTAGGTTGTCTTTATTTGTGGATTATGACTTTCATTTGTTTCACTGCACCCCAAAGCCTTATAAATGGGTTCATAATCCTTTCTGGGCTCATAGAAACACTTTCTTTCTTACTCATCTGTTGTTGAAGATCTTCAGATTAGGTGTGGTGTTTAGACTTCTCATATCTTTTCAACCCTCCGATTGTTTGTTAGACAGGTTATATAATATTTAGTGATATGAAACAAAAGAAAATGTGCTTGATCACAGCACATTGTATTTTCACATCACCTGCCTACCTAATTAAAAACAGGGTAGGTTGTGATATTGGAATTTGTCTGATGATCTTGGACATCGCCTAACAGGCAAAGGCAGATGGAATATTTAAGTAAACCAGAAAGATGAAGGAAATGCACAAATTTAAGATTATTTGTCTCTTGCAATAGCTGACGAGGTTTCTTGATGCGTGTCAGACCTTGTTTCATGTATTGTTTACTATTTACATTTAAAGGCGGAACAGTTTTAACACTCGAGTTTCTGATTGGCTTACTGAAGAGGTTGACTTGAGAAAGCGCATGCGCAGTACAGTTGGAAGATGGTCGTTTCGTCAGAGTGAGGAGAAGCCCGAAAGGTGAGCTGTCTTTTCTCTCATCTGTTAACGCCGATAACAAAAAAAAAAATTTAAAAAAGGTGTCGTACGAGAAGTGTAGCAAATGTAAAACACGCGGAGTGCCACAGCCGAGCGAGCCGTGACAGTCTTGTCAGTTTGTAAAGTTTTCCTGTTGTTCTCTCCGACGTGCTCTCCCAAGTTTTTTCGTAAAAGTGGTAAATGGAGGTGATTCATCTCGGTCGGAATTCTGTTTTCATCGAAGCGAACCGAATGAAGTTCAGGGGGGAAAGCGGAGCGCTTCGTTGAAGAGAACGTGTTGTATATATATATATTTTCCTGTAGGCTTTGAATGAAGTGTAGTGAAGTAGGTGAGTTACTCAGTGCCCGAGTAAAACATGTAACAGTCAGGGAAGTTAAGTTTTCTGTTGCATCCTTGTCTTAAGGCTCCACCAGACGTCATCCAAAGTCCCTTTCGTTTGACGTTCGGCTTCAGATAAAGTATGTGGTTACCTTTAAAGTTACCCATTTTGTTGTCTAATGGCAAAGAGTGTTATTTATTTTATTTTTTTATCTTTTGAAAATTATATTTGTTATTAATTGAAATAGTAGTAGTCTCTAAATTAAATTATTTACAACTTGAGCGTTTTCTCTAAGGTATTTTTGAATTTGAAATGAATTGAGTAAGATGAAGTCATTGATTTGATAGATAATAGTTCTTCCGGGGAAGGAGTAGATAAAAGGAAGTTGAATAATCCAATCAATGGGAAACTTGAGTTTTTAATTTAAGGTTGTGTGAGGATAGTAATATATTCATGGTGTCATAAGAAAATAAAAAAATAAATTGCTGTGTTACTACCTCTAACATGGCACCCACTATCCTTAAGTCTAAAGCAATAACTGGATTGTAAAGCATCTGACCTTAAGTGCACCAGTTCACTTAATTCAGCAGTCAATGAAAGGAAATGTTCATGGTGTCTTTTTAGGTGATCGTGTTTTTCCAACATTTAGAAATCTCCCGATATTTCTAGTTCGCTGTTGGAACCTTGGGCATTTTCTCCAACCTGGATATTATTAGGCAAAAAAAACAACAACAGAAAAATAACTACTAGCAGCTGCGGTAATGGATATTTTCGCTACAGAAGTTTTGTGTGTCATTAAAAAGTTCACAGTACCGTCCAACCAGGAATTGGACGGTAAATGCAAATAGAAAAATTGTCGGTGGTAGAGGTTAGCATGTCTCTTGAGGACAGCAATTTACATATCCCTGTGGTTTTCTAACATCCACAGATTTGAGGATATTTCCAGGTCTGCGCTCTAATTTCAGGGGTAAATACAGGAAGTAGCCACCTGTGCTCGTTCATAGTTCACAACTCTCTGTTTAGTTTGTTTTGGGAGTTCTCAAAATATTCACCAATTTGTATTTGTTTGGATAATTTTATGTTTGAACTAGAGGGAGGCTTTTGAAGGACTCCGAATTTAGCTGTTTATTGTTGAAAATGTTTCTTGGGGAATGCAAAAGGCACCCCAAGCAACATTTGTGTTGCTTTTTCCACACTTTTGGAAAAACTTTTTTTTTCTGAAAATTGTCACAAAATCTGTGTTGTTTTAATTTTCCATAAAAACAACACACATCCCTGACATCATGCAGTAATCCCCCAAAATGTTGATACTTTATGTTGAAACAATGACTCTTATTCTAATTGGCATTAATTGTTTTTTTTTGTTTTTATTTTTAAAGTAAACCAAGTACTTCATTTGTAAAAACACAAGACAATGTTGAGACTCTGTTCCTAAAGTAAATGTGTATGAACAATAAATGACTCGTACCCTAGAAACATTTCAGCAATGTTTCAACCAAGGCGCTCTTTGGTCTTGATGCTGTTCAAAGGCAAACCAATGAGGTCTTTACTGACAAGCTGTAGTTTTATAGAGATTAAATTACGGATTCCATTTCTTTACTTATTACGTGACTTTTGAAAGCAATCGGTTGCATTGAAATCTTTTGACTTTAGAGTTGCTTTGATTGGACAAACCTTTGAAAACCCTGCATCATTTTTCTTTCTGTTTATTGTTATGCTGTACTTTATGTTGTCCTGTTACACAAAAGGTCAAGTAAAGTAGAATGAAGTTTTTGGTTGTAATTTGACTAAATGCTAAAAAAAAAAAAAAGAAAATGTTTGCAAGGCTCTGTAAATAGGACAATAAGATGTGTAAAACAATGATTGATAGCTGCAGCTTTACAATACAATATCCAGCTGATTTCCTCTGAGAAGTGAATGAAAAGCTCGAGCAAATGCGCCATCTGGAAAATTCCCGACAGAATCATCCGAAAGCAAAATTGGACTTATAACTGTGACTGTTTCCTCTCTTGTTTACGCTGCAGGGGGCTTTCTTTTATTGTTTCCACAGCACACCACAGCCGTCCTGGTTACAACAATCAACTATCACTTTAAGTTATTTATGATGAATGAGGCGGTGAGCTAAACATGTAGTTGTGTTTCTTTTGCACGGCCATGTGATCGGCCAGAGTTGCGGTTGTGTGTACAGCCTCATCTCCTCATGTGCTGTTGTTTTCCTGAGAGGCCTACCTTTCTGTTGACGTCTCTAGGCAGCTCGGGCAGAGATGTCCATCCTAATGTGAAACCCTTTCTGTGAGACAGCATGCCTGCTGCAGAGTCCCCCTGGTCTTTGACGGCCCAGAGAGCTGTGGTTGCGACCAGAATGTGTGTGGTCTACGTGTGAGCGTGTTTGAAAAGCTCATCAGAGGCTTTCAGAAACTGCTGGTCTAGCTGTCATGTGAAGCGACTGTGTGTGTGTGTGTGCTATGTGAGATAGAGGAAGCATCAGAGTGTGTGTATGAATATACTAGGACTCTCTCATATAGATCACCATATATATGTATTTTCACCACAGAACAGAGACGAGTAGAGCGTTGTCGTCTCTTATGATCCAGTCTAGCTCAGCTCTGCGGGCTTTTAGAACTTCGTCTTTAAATTGTCCAACCTACTGATATGTAGGCCGACATTCACAGAGACACGTTCATCAGCTTTTCGAGACAGTGGAGCAGAATGTGAAACAAGGTTCTGAGGATCATCAGATGAACATGGTGGCAAAATTTCCTGAGACAGTTTGTGAGTTTATAAAGTGGGGGGAAAGCTGATGGCGGAGAGGCAGTCAGGGCAACCTGGCTGGATTGGGAGGGAACATCTGCATCCTTCTCTCTGGGTAAGACTTAGACTCAGGATCTGCTCCAGATCAGTGGAAATAATCTCTAATCTCGTAATAGCTTTTCAGCTATTACAGATTTCTCTTTAAAGCCTACAAGAAGTAAAAATAGTGACTTTAAGACGAGGTTGCTTTATTTAAAAAAGCATAGGACATCATTATGGTGATTAGTATTTTGTATTTGCTATTAGCTTGTCAAGAATTACTAAATCAATAATCTTCATGTGTAGATGCTTGTTTTAACTGTGATTTCCAAAGGTTGCTAGGATTTTCCATTAGAGAGGGGTTGGAAGCTCAAAAGGATCAAGAAACCAACTTTGCTTCACTGAGGGTTTACTTTTTATGATCAAGAGTTTGGATACCCCCCTGATATTATTGCATGTAGGAAGCCTAACTTCATACTTGGTTTTAAATAGCTTGAAAGCTAATTTGACAGTCTAGCAATGTACTGTCACTTGGAAGTGGACTATCCATCTTCAAGGTGAGCTTGAAAGCGGTCAAAAGTAAAGTTCTGCTTTGTCTTTTTGAAGCTGGTAACAGTTGGATTCGTTTGGCTTGTTGGTGAGAAGAGCCAATGTAATGGCACTTATTTTTGAATCTCCCCAACATGTTTTCACATCTTTAAAACTGACCCATGTGTTTGTGTACACTGGAGCCCCGCCTAGTGAATCCTTTTACGTAATCAAGTTGATAGACAAACAATTGCATCTTTTCACAGGATCACATCTGAACTCGTGTTTGTTGACCTTCAGACCATTAATCATAGTCAAGACCTGATGCAAAGGTCAATATGGCTTAACCCAAGACAATAGAAAAACCAGCTTGCAGGACATTGTGCTGTTTTGAATTAACTCGGCAGCTTAGAACTTTCTTGCTGGTATTTTCTTTTCTACTTGTGTGATGAGAGGACTAACGTCTCAGCCAGATCTAGAGAAACTGATCCATGCATTTATCTTTAGTCGCATTGATTATTGTAACAGCGTCTTCACAGGCCTGTCCAACACATCAATCAAACAGCTGCAGCTGATCCAGAACGCTGCTGCTCGAGTTCTCACTAAAACCAGAAAGATAAAGACATAACACCAGTCTTAAAGTCCCTCCACTGGCTCCCTGTAGCTCAAAGAATAGACTTTAAAATACTGTTGTTAGTTTACAAATCACTGAACGGTTTAGCACCACAATACATTAAAGATCTGCTGTTGTTGTGTCAACCTTCCCCACCTCTCAGGTCTTCTGGTTCTGGTCTGCTGTGCATCACCAGAACCAGAACAAAAAAAAAAAAAGAGGAGAAGCAGCTTTCAGCATCTATGCACCAAAAATTTGAAACAAACTTCCAGAAAACTGTAAAACAGCAGAAACCCTGACTTCCTTTAAATCTCAACTAAAAACGCACCTGTTTAGAATTGCATTTGAAACGTAATATGCAACAATGTATTGTTTATTCTGTGTTGCATGACTTTGTGTTTTTGTGTTTATGATGTAAAGCACTTTGAAATGCCTTGCTGCTGAAATGTGCCATACAAATAAAATTTGATTTGATTAAGCAAACAGAAACACAACTAACCAGGTACAGACTGCAGCATTTACCAAAGAGCAGAGCAAAAACTATTTCTTGCTTTGTCATTGCACTCACTGTGCCTAAAAGCTCTCACTGCTTGTTTTTCTTCTCTTACTTTTGTAGTCACAGACCATGAACATTGTGGGCCAGCTCGCAGAGACCGTGTTTGTCACAGTGAAGGAGCTGTACCGCGGCTTGAACCCGGCCACCCTGACCGGAGGGATCGATGTCATCGTGGTGCGGCAGCCTGATGGATCTTACCAATGTTCGCCGTTTCACATCCGCTTCGGGAAGCTCGGCGTGTTGCGCTCCAAAGAGAAAATTGTGAGTACATTTTTTATACCTTACTCTCTGCCTAAATATTCTGTCATCTCTCGTTGAACCGTACGTTGCAATTTTTAGGTCGACATCGAGGTAAACGGAGAATCGGTCGACCTGCATATGAAGCTCGGAGATAATGGCGAGGCTTTCTTTGTGGAGAAAGAAGAATACATGGAGGTAAACTGAACGACGTCAGAGACCGCTTTAGCGAAATCACACTTTTTTGATGTCAAAGTTTTTTTGTGTTTTTTTTTTCTACTTCTCTTTTGTGCTAGGTCCCAGCCCATCTGTGCACCTCCCCAATTCCTCTGGAGGCCCCTGAGGAGACGGATGTGACCGCCGAGGGGTCCGAAGCTCGCAAGAAGAAGCGGCGGCGGAGACACATGCGTTATGATAATCAGCAGAGGGGCGAAGCCGACTCCTCGTCAGAAGAAAAAGACAAGGAGGAGAGTACAAAAGACTCTGACGCTGCTCAGTGGGAGAGCGCTTCATCTCAGGCACTGCTGACCAGGTCAGACAGTAAAACGTACAGATGTTGTTGAATGGTTGGTAAGCGGACTGAGTGAAACTTTTCACAGTGCTGCTCAAATTAAAACTACATTATTTTAAATAAACCAAGTAATCAAATTTAAGTTGAAAAAAATTTAATTTATTGTAGAGACAAAACCTAAGAAAGTGCTTAAAGTCAAGAGGCTTTCTTTGGACAACCCAGCTCTACCAGCTCATGATGAAGTTTTGAATAATTCTTTATTTATTGGTGGAAAGCTGTGGCCATGAGTTTTAACTCGATTGTAGCTGTGCTACAGCTCATGTTTCAGTGACAGAAGATTGGAGTTCAGTGTATGGGAGCCAGGATTTAACATTGACTTTAATCCCAGATTGAGTTGAACAAAGTTGTTGAATCTTTAACGTTTTTTTTCATTTTGCGTGTTAGTAAATCAGTGTACTACTCACTGCGTGAGGAGCCAGATGAGGAACTGGGGGCCACACAGAATAGAGGCGTTGATCCTCATTCAGACGAAGAGCTCCCAGAGAAGTGAGAAAAGCGTTTCACTTTCCGTTAAACAAACATTCTTGTTCGTTCTTTAGTTTTGAGAATCTCCTGTGTGTTTTCCAGTGTTTTCTTGAGTCGGCCGGATTCTCCTAAGATCGACTCTGAGGTTCTGGATGAAGCCCAGGATGTGTCTGAGCTCCAAATGCAGTGGAACTGGGGAGGATTTCCCATGGTGAAACACACCGACACAGACAGAGCTGCGCATTTATGCCATACCTGTGCTGCGGTTGGAGTCCAACCCACTGACGTGCGGTTGTCCTGTTTTTCGCAGCCCTGTGACCCAGAGAACACACCAGGAGAGCTGAAGGTCTCATCTCACTTCCACACCATTGAGAGACAGGAGTCCTTTGACCTTGGCTACGAGGTCACATCTTCGGTGATCGGCTGCGTGAAGCCAGAGTCGAAGGCGGACTCATTTTCTTTAGACAGCAGCTCTCAGCAAACCAGCTCTTTGTCTAAGAAGAACTTTCACGACACACTTTCCTACCACAGCGACCATTTCCTTTCATGTGCTTCTTCCACTGAAGTGGATTCTGAAAAAGACTCATCTTCTGAGACTATTGTTATTTGTCTCAACAAAATCGAAGAAGGTGCTGAAAAAGTTAGTTCTGTTGCTGAAGGAGTTTCTGAAAATGAAACTTTGAGCAAAACAAAAGAGCTGACAGAAAAGATGGCAGAATGCACACTCCAAGAATCAAGCCAGGATAGTCGAGGACAAGAAAGTGTCTCATCTGAGCAGAGAGAATCGGATTCTACAAATTCTGCTCCTGACAGAGGATTAGTGCCCAGCGCTGTCGGAGAAGATGACAATACCACACTCAGAGCAACCGATGATTCATCTGAAAGCTCAGCTGCAGCGACTACTGCATCACAAGCTGCCGACACAGACACTGGGAATGACATGGCGAAATCCTCCGAAGCATCCTCCAAACTGGAACAACAGGACGAGGAAAAAAGTGAAGCATTTGAGCGATGAAGTTAATTCTTTAGGTTAAAGTCACGAGTCTGTTTATGCATGAGGTGGATTTGTTCCTCACGGTGTTGTGTGACTGTGTTGTAGGTAAACAGAATCATCATGGAGGCTCATCGGATATTCACCCGGATGACCAGACCACTCTGGACACAGAGGCGGCGGAGTTTTATTTCCCTAAAACGTAACATGTTTTCTGACACATTTAGTCAAGTTCCAACCTGGAATTGCTACCTATTTTCTGTACAGAAAATAATATTTTGTCACCTTCCTAAAGAAATGGCTTAAGTCATTTTTACCTAAACTGATTTTGCAAAAAGAAAAAAAAAAAAAGAAAAATCTTACAATTTTGTAAAAACCTGCACAATAAAAATGGTGGCAGAAAGAGAGACATTACCTTCTTTCTGAAGATAATTTAGGCAACAACTTATTTCAGTCCTTTATTGCACGTTTGTATGCAATAAAGACAATAAGGCTATGAGAATATATGTTTCTAATTTGCCATTAGTCGTATTGGTGACACAGCAAAGATATGCAGCTTATTTTAAGTCGTCAGTGTTAGAACAAGCCAATAATTCTGATACAGTAACTTGCAATAATTGCAAATGCTGAACCTAAATTACTGACTGTTGCCTGTCAACAGGGAGGCAGAGGGAGTGTTAACTCAGTTTGCTGAACAGGGCTCAGGTAGCCTGTCGCCTGAGTCAGTGGACCCTGGAGCAGTGGACAGTGGAACAGAGAATCCGTTTGATTCTACATTGTGCGTCATGGACGTCAGTATGTCCCTTTGTGGGAAAGTACAAGACACCAGCCAGATTTCCAAAGGTAGGAGTGATTCATCCAGTGTCAGGTCGTTAGCTCTGCTCATACAGCAAAGGATCTATTTGATTTATTATTTTTTTTGTTGTACGTTTGTTTTTCATTTTGCTTCAGAAAAGTTTACAGAGCACCTTGTGACATATCAGGATTTTATCAACAACCCCGGAATCATTGAGGATCCAAGTCTAGTCATCTGCATAAATTCTAAGTGAGTGAAATAAATAATTATACGGTTTTTAGAAGTTGATCAGTTCCCAGGCTAAAGTCTTTTACACGTTTTTCAGCTATTACAACTGGGCAGTGGCTGCTCCAATGATCCTGTTCATGACGGCATTCCAAAAGAACCTACCAACGGTATTTTATTTTTTCGAATCCTGACCATTAAAGTCTTAAAAATGTGTTGTAAATTCAAACATTAAATACGCCTTTGTTGTGCTTTTTCAATTTTAAGCAAAGTTATGGAATATCTTACAATTTTGTAAAAACCTGGTGGCAGAAAGAGAGAATAATTTTCTTTCCTTGTGTCTCATACATAAGAGTACAGTAGAGCAGCTGGTGAAGGACAGGATGTCCAAAAAGCCTGGTCGCTGGTGGCTCTCATGGAGACGCAAAGAAATGGACGACAAGGTAGTTCCTCAGGTCTTCATGTGTGTACACATCAGCCTGCACTGACCACACACAGTTAATCATGAAAAGATGCGTCTTTTCTAGTTGGAGTATATCTTTCATACAAGACATAATGGTGATGAATGCTGACTGCTCTTTTCTCTTCAGCAAAAACAATTAAAGGAGGAGCAACTGGCAAGCGTTTCTTCCACAGTCCAGTAAGTCACCTCATTACCAAGTGATTAAATAATCCTTCCCCAGGAAACCTTGGATCCTGGGGAAGGATCCAAGCCAGCCAGCACCTAGCCAGAACAGCTGGTGCTGTTCTGGCTAGTCCTGCTGCTGCACATCTGTTTCACTGCCGCATGACGTTGGTAGCGGTGGGAAACCCTGGCGAGGATTCCTTGCATGTTTATGTTAACCTTTACTGGCTACTTTAGTTGTTCACACACCCAAAAGTCATCAGTGTTGTGGGGACGTTGTGTGATTTCATCCACATCTCTTTAACTTTTTCACAAATACATTGCTATGTATTTTATTTAGATTTTATCTGTAAAGAAAAATTTAATAGTGGGATGTTTTTGCAACCAGATTACATACATAATGACAAGTAGACAAACGTGTTTGAATAAAATGGTGGAAATATATTTAAACATATTTGAATTTCAAGGCACTGTACAGTTGCTAATGTTAACTTATTTGCAAGGTACACTCTAAGTTGCTGCTGTGAAAAAAACATTTTAATCTCTGTTTTTAGAGGCGGGCGAACACAAACGGTGATTTTCCTTTGTTGTTTTTTCAGAGCCCCACTGGATAACACTGAAGCTGATGAAGCTGTAAGGCTCGAACAAAATGCTGACATGGCTTCCAGTTTTTCTTCAGACTCCATATCCATCACGCAGTCCTTCAGCCACATCTACCGCAAATCACTACGTCTCTCTTCCAAGGAGATAGTAGGACAACCCTGACTCTTTGCCTGAAAACATCAAACATATTTAAATGAGATCTTTTTGTGCTATGATGCGTTTTTCTCCGCTCTTCTCTGCCAGGAGAGTTTAAATCTGCGTGATGGAGCCAATAAAGTGGTATTCAGTGTTACTACACAGTATCAAGGCACCTGTCGCTGTGAAGCTGCCATCTACCTGTGGAACTGGAACGATCGGGTCGTCATATCAGACATTGATGGAACAATCACCAAGTAGGCCAAGTTAAACACGGTTTCTTGCTATTAACCTCATCAATATTGCTTTGTCTTTCTATTCTGTTGAAAGATAAGTTTTTCTAGGTAACCGTCACCTTCCTACATCTCTGACTCTATAACAAATGAAAAGTGACCTCCAGACAAGCCAGGCTGTCAAAGATTTCTTGGAAACATATTGCATAAATTCTCTAGCATCAATGTCAAGTATGTGAGATGCCTTATATGCTGCAGAAATGCTTTCCTGAGCCAAAAATGACAAGCGCTTCTTAAATATTACAATAATAATCCAGTAATATCACTAATAAGTCTAATGTGACACTGTGCAGATGCTCTGTCTACATTATTAAAGAATCTCATACCATACTTAGTGAATGCTTGAAGTGGCTCCTTCTGATAGCAGCCTCTCTACATTTTTGTTGTTATAGTTCATAAATAATTGACCACTGGTGTGGGATTTTCATTTCCAGTACGTTGATCCTTAAATATGGAAACAAAATAAAATAAGATGGCAACATCATGGCCAAAGTGACAACAACAACAACCCATCCTCACTCAAAAGAACAGAATTCCACATCCTAAATCCCATTAAACAAACATTATAAGTTCTGTGTCATTTTCATCACGTCTTTCCGCATGCGTCATGCCTTTCTACGTCTACTGACATAAGTGTTGATATTAACCTCAAATATGAATGAAAATGTCCTTTAGAATTTGTGACCTTTTCGTACTCCTCGTCTGTTTTGTTCTTTTTTGTATGACAAAAAGTTGTTTTTCTTCTGCTATAAGCTCCACTCTCTGTCTCTTCTAGGTCCGACGCGCTTGGTCATATCCTACCTCAGTTTGGAAAAGACTGGACACACAAGGGAATTGCCAAACTTTATCACAAAATACACAAGTATGTGAAATGTTGGGCACATCAATGGAACTCAACCTGTGGGATTATCATGACTTTCTGTTGTGCGTCCTGCTATTTGAACAATTAAAATTACATGATGCATTGTGTATTTTTGATCAAATGTAATGATTCATTTTGTGAATTGCAGTTTTGGGTGCTCATTTCTTTGCAGAAATGGATACAAGTTCCTGTACTGTTCAGCGAGGGCTATCGGCATGGCTGCTATTACCAAAGACTACTTAAAGTGGGTCAATGACCAAGGCACTGTTCTTCCTAAAGGTCCTGTACTGCTGGCTCCCAGCAGCCTCTTTTCAGCACTACACAGGTAACAGCAGCTCAAATCCTCAAAAGATGGTCCGCATTCCCATTCAAGAGGCCGAATTTATAACAGTGTATCGACGCCCTCTTAAAATAATAGCCAAAGTCATTATTTTTGTGTTTTCCAAAATACTTTGCAAAGTATTGCATATATGTTTAGTTATTTATTTAACTCAAGAAACTTTTTGTAGTGGATGACTGTTGACATCAACTCTTGCAGGGAGGTGATTGAGAAGAAGCCAGAGGTTTTTAAGATCGCCTGTCTTAGTGACATCAGGGACTTGTTCGGATCACACAAACAACCTTTCTACGCAGCTTTCGGCAACAGGACGAATGTAAGCAATACTGAAGAGTGACTCCAAATCTTACATAGGACAGGAAGACAGTTCCTCCTGTCTTCCTGAGGAACTGTGGTTTGTGTGGTTTACATTTAATCACGGTGTAAAACACGTTCTTGCATATTTTGAAAAATGGTGGCTAAAATTAGGTTTACTTGTTAAAAATTTTTTCTTATCTCCAATGCTTTTTGCAGGATGCTTTTGCCTATAAACGGGTGGGAGTGTCTGAGAGCAAAATATTTACAGTCAACCCAAAAGGAGAGCTTATCCAAGAAATGTCTAAAGGCAACAAGTCTTCGTAAGTAAAAACTAAGCAATTCAATGGAAATGCGTTTTTGTAACTTGCTGTCATACATTCACGCAGATTAGTTAGATTTCTAACCTCCTGGTTGTACTTTTTTCTGCAGGTATAACCACCTGACTGAACTGGTTGAGCATTTCTTCCCCATGGTCTCTGCTGAGACCAATAACGCTGCAATTTTGGTCTGTCCTGAATACAGTAGCTTCTCTTACTGGAAGGAGTCTCTGCCAGAAGTGGACATGAGCATACTGACATAGACCAACTTCCAGTTTGCACGCAAAATAGACATAAATTCTCATATTTTCTCAGGGCAACCACCTTTGATAAGAACATAAAGAAGTAGTTGTTGATTTTTAATACTACACTCAGATAGATCCCAATTAAACTATTTGATTCAAAACCACTGAATAATTAATATCCTGAGCATTTTTAGTTATTCCTGTCACTAAATGTTTTCATGATTATAAAATCCTCTTTAACCTATTACCTGATGAATTGAATTAAAATTGACAGAGAAGAACTCGACTTTAAAACACACACCAAGTAATGCCTGAGTTGTAGGAATAATTCAATGATAATTTGCCTTCCTTGAACCTAGTGGAGGTGTGATCACATAAACCACGCACGTCCATCTGTGTGTGTGAATTCATTGGACTGTATAGCATATGGAGTTTTATTCTATCAAGAAACCAAAAACTGCTTATGCATATCAAATTAATCATAATTATTAGATCTGTTTGATGTTATTGGGTTTATGAGTCAGTTTGTGTATCGGTTACAGCTTTGAATTTGCACTATACTGGACAGAACACAATCCTTTGGACGAAAAGCTATATTTCAAACTCGTCCAAGACTAAAGGTCATGCACCATTTGAATAATATGGTGCATGACAAACAGAAGGACCATTGAACCTGATTATTGTTCAATGGTCACTATGTGACGATGCCAGTCACAATTTTTTCACTGTTTCATACCAAGTTTGTAATGGCATGAAATGTACACTGCACAAACGAGCATTAGATTCAAGACCAACAGTGATGTTGGATTTTGGCTGTGAACTCTTAACGGTAATGTCGTACATATTTATTATTTTTGCATAATTTCTTGTCCAGCTGATGTAAAATTGAGTAGTTTTTCTGTAAATCAAATGTAGAAAAAATAATTTTAAAACATCTATGTTGTCCACATTGTAGTTGTGTACTGATGTATTCAGAGTAAATACATTTTACTTGCAATAAAACCACTTATACATATTTTTTGTTGTTGTTGCTAATTATGATATACAAATGTTTACAATCAGGACTTTGTTTTATTGAAGTGGAGATAGTATTCTTGCTGTCCTTGGGGGAGACTATTACTGAGTGTCTTTGTTTTTTAATGAATTTATTGTAAATACCATAGTGGTCAAAGGGTTAAAGATGAACAGAGGTATTTTGTTTCAGAAATGTTTCAACTTTACTAGTGTTAGATCTCTGTATCAGCTGTTTCTATGGGACAGAAAAGTTAAAAATGAACTACTTTAACTAGTTTGACTTGTTGGCAAACACATCTGAATATATGTGAAGGATGAATATGAATAGGATCTGGGTCTCGTTTTTTTCAATGAACCTAAATATTTAAAGTTTTGATCCAAAATATACCACTTTAATTAGTTTCAATATTTTGTTGAGAAACCCATCTAAATGTATACATTGTGTCAGTATGAATAAGATCTGAGTAATTTTAGATATTTAAAGTTCTCATCCATGAGCTCCTTGATTTTTATTTTTGTGACACGTTGCTACTCTGCTTTAAAACACATTGGTGTGTCTGAGGATTAAGCTCTGCACTGGTGGTAAACGGATACGTTAGTTGAACGCTCTTTAGAAGATTTTTTTTCTCGGGCGCTTATTTCATTTTTTTTCGGGTCCCCTGAAGCTTTCTACCAGAAGTTCCTGATGAGTTCAGAACTGGTCGATTTCAATACAATCTTGCAAGCAGCAGTATCCCTGCTGGCACTTGGAAAGGTCTGTTTATGCAAATTGAATTCAAATCTGTTTATTGAGACAGCGCCTCATCACGTCTTTCCGCATGCATCATGCAACACAACACAAGTGTGGTGTTGCCTTGAAACAACACCACACTTTATAATCCAAAACGTTTTATGCAACAAAACAATGTCAGCAACTGTTCCACACTTGACGAAAGATTTACTTTGATATTTCCTGTTTCCTTTTTGTTCACTTTCCAATTCACATTTTGTCTGATCACACCTCATAGCAACAAACATTCAAAACACACAAGGATGATTTGTGAAATACAAGTTTATGGCAAATCTTTAAAGTGCAGACACAGCTCTTCACAGAGAAACACTGCTTTGGGTTGCATTGTTTTGAGTTGTCCTGTCAAACAGAGGGAACAGAGGTCTCAGGAGTCCCATCTTTCTAAGATGTAGATGTAAATAATTAAACGAGAAGAAAAACTCAAGCAGAAATTTCAATTGAGCACCTAATGAATGATACATCTGTCACCCTGTCTCAGATTTAGTTTATTTCAAATGTTCATGCATTTCTGTGTCAGACATAAACAACACTAAGGTACAAATGAGGGACATCTTTTGTGCAACTCGCACAAAACAACTTGAAAATGACCGATAATGAAACTGCAGTTCTTCACCGGGTCTGCATTTTACTGCATTCTTGAAAAACACAAGCGGAGTTGTAAAAGGCAGGCTAAACAAATAAGATTGCGCTATTATAAAGTGAACAGCCGCATGTCGTGTTGCGACATCCTGCACCTGGCGGACCCAGAGATGATGATGATGACGACAGGCGCAGCCATAAACGCGTCAGCGCGTCTCGCTTGTTCTTTTTTTTTTTTTTTTTTACTTCACGAGGAAGAAGCGGCACCAAAGAGAAAAGTGCCAGCAGGTACGTTTTCACCGCCGTTCCTTGTTATTCGTTCTCTTCCCGAGGTTACATCTGGCTGCTGGTCAAGTTCCGCTACCCGCTCAAGGTGAACAGTTCTTTGCAGCTGAACCGGTTCAACGCGTTGAAGAGACTTGTGTTCGTTCGGCTTTTTTCCTGTTCGAAAACCTAAATCGAAACTTAAGCGAAATCCGCCCTGTAAAATCAACAGCGCGTCGGGCTCTGCGCGTCAACTTGATTTATGTAAAGACATCCTCATCTTTAAATTGGAGTTAGTTTGGGATTAGACGCACTTAAACAAAAAACATCCAGGAGACAGTTTTCTATTTTTAAAATAAGTTATATTAAAGTTTGCCTATAAATAAATACAGAAGACTTGGCTAAAGAGTGTAAAACAGAGTAGCAGTCGAGAGTATAAGCATCATCGAGTCGAGCAATATTTCACAATTAATCGAGTTAGTCAGAGGGAGCAAAGATCACCAGACACAAAGTAAATGAACTGTTGACAGAATGCCTTTTAACATAAACATGATCATGTGTCTAAAATATAGAAACGGCATTGAAGGCAAAAAGCTACTTTTGTCATCTAAAAGTCGTAAAATTTAATCTGCAGTCATGTAAAATCAATTATGATGAAATGCTTTCTCATAATGTTAGTGTGTATGGTTGCTTCTTGAACAGATCCAAGAGTCCACAAAATGTAAATGGAAGGCCTCAGTGTGGAGATTGCAGCTGCAAAGGCTTTGTTTCGTATTGATTTAGGGATAACAAGCCCTGATCAGGCAGGACTTATCTTTCCCAGAATTCTTGTGGACTCTGGTGAGCATCATAAGACTGAAGACGGGCAGAAACGTGGTGGAGTGACATGTAAAATACACTTTGCATTTTCAACAGGCTCCAAAATGTGAATCACGAGAGGAATACACAACTTGAGTCGTTATGTAGCATGAAAGATGAAAGATTTTTTAAACTAGGGAATCCAACTCATTCAGAGCATCAAATAAATGTCGAGATTTTCTCCCTGTTCAGTTGGAAGAAATTATACAACACCCGCGATTTTGGACATCTCAACAGTTTTTTTGGGACTGAAACCTTGGAGATACATTTGTTTAGAAGACGCATCACTCTTTACAATGTGTAGTGAAATGACAGCCTGCCGTCGAGCCTGCGGGACATCTGTATGCCCCTCATGCATATGTTGATTTAGAGCAAAAGGAATAGTGCATAACCACTGACTGAATTCCATGAAAATAAATCTGTTAATGTTGTCTTTTGAATCTGTAGGACGTCTGCCATGTTGGGTGACTGATAACTAAACTTTGACTGACTGTTGGGTCAGTCAATAATACAACAATGAACCTGTCATACCCTCTCTGTTCTAGATGTGCCAGCTCCTGGCAGACTGAATCAATCACTTATACGTCTTTGGTTGTGAGTAACAGATTTCACCCAAATCACAATATTCTTTCTGCTTCCTTACTCAGGTACTTAGTACTTAATTTTTTTGTTTTTGTCAGTGAATGTGTAAATACTTTTTTTTTTTAATCTTCTGTCATGAAATTTAGACTTCCATTCATATATACACATGTGTTTGATTTAAACTTTGTATTTCTCTAAAGGTCTCCTGTCCCCACCATCATGTCTGTGTCTGAAGGAGCAAGCTTTTCTGCAGATGAGCTCACGTGTCAAATATGCCTGCAGCTGTTCTCTAAGCCCGTTTCTCTTCCCTGTGGTCACACCTATTGCTTTCTCTGCCTTAAGAACATGGAAGAAGGCCTTGACCAACATAGGTGCCCAGAATGTCAGGCTGAGTACCAGGGAGCCACTGCTCTTATGGAAAACATAAAAACGTCCAAATTTATAGAGACCCACAAAGTCACTGCTGAGAAAGATTTTGTCCCTGAAGATCGTCCTGCTGTCATCCATGTAACATCCAAGAGTATGTGTAATTCTGGTTTGGATCAGTCAGATGGAAAAAGTCAGTGCTATGAAGAAGAAAACAAGACAAACAAAAGTTGTGAGTCTGGCTCTGGATTCGGAGGCTCTCTCTGTAATCCGACGCAAGCAAAAAACAGCAGCAGAGGCAAAACGGAAATGGATGAGCCCAAGTTTAAACTGGCATCTCAAGTCACAGAGTTGCACATCAAACTAGAGATCGCAGAAGGTGTTCTGATGAAAGAAAAGGAATGGGAGCTTCAGCTGACGACTTCTAATTCTCGGCTGAGAGAGAAAATATCGAAGCTGCTGGGGCAGATGAGGGACTCCCTGCAGAGCTACAGTGACCAGGTGATGCAGATGGTCGAGAAGGAGTTAGGCCCCGGTGAAGAAAGCGTCCGCGCCCGGGTCAGTCAAACGTCTGAGCTGGCGAAACAGCTGAGGCACACTGTGCTTACAGCTGAATCCCTACTGACTGAAGAGGATGAAAAAGCATTTAGTGATGAGCTTCAAAGTCTAAATGCAAACATTGTGGAGATGCTGGAGAAACCACTGAGAGAGGACGAGGACTTTGTTGAAACAAAGGTCAACTTTGCACATGCCTGTCCCAAGCTGGAAAACATGAACGCCGTCCTGAGGGAGCAACTTGGAGAGACTCAGCGCTCCCTCCGAAACACCTTCAACCCTTCAGAGTTGACCTTTGACCCGGAAACAGCTCATCCGAATCTCATTCTGTCGGAGGATCTGAAAACGGTAACATTCAGCACCGTGAAGCGGTCCTACGCATCCTCACCGCGGAGGTTCACCAACTTTTACCAGGTACTCAGTGCACAAAGCTTCTCAGAAGGCGAACACTGCTGGGAGGTGGAGCTCGAAGGTTCTCCGTGGATCATCGGCATGTGCTACAGCGGGAAGCTGCCACGCAGCGGGATGCCATCCGCCCTGGAAAGCAGCCAGAGCGCCTGGTGTCTGATGTGGTTTGATAACCTGCTGACCGCCTTCGAGCAAGGTCACAGCGTGCCACTGAAGAAAACCACAGTGTCACGCAGGCTTGAGCTCAAGCTGAGCTTCAAGACACACAGGTTGAGCTTCTACAACATCAGCCCTTCCAGTGGCAAGACGCATATCTACACCTTTAAGGCCAATCTGAGTGAAGCCGTGCACCTCGCCTACAGGATGATGTCAGGACACCCCAAAGGCAGAGTCACGATTTGCTCATGAATAGAAGTTTTCAAAATCAGCACACAGGAGAAATAGCTCGGTAAATTTATCCGAAAAACAAACGTTGAGAAAAGATTTCTGTGATTACATAATTAGTAGCTTCTCTAATACTGATATTTAATATTATAGGGCTGTTTTCACAACCGATCATCCATCAATTTCAACAACCTGTTTATATGCACATGATGTTTGCACTTTTTTTTTATTTACCTTATTGGAAACAATTTTTTAACAAATTGGTTAAATGTTTTTGTCAGATGAAGGTGAAATGGCAGGATGTAATGCACATAACATAAATATGTTACCAAAACATTTTGTGTAAATTAACTTTAGCTCTGACGGCTCAATCTCAGCTAAAATTGCAGTTTTGACTTGTGGCCAAAGATGACCAAGCCACTCTGGTCACTTGGGCCACATATCACAGCTAAGCTACCACTGTTATTATCAGATTCTTTCGTGCCACTTTCTCAGGGCCCAGACACAGATACACTGCCACTGCCGTGATGAAGAATCATATTGTCATCTGTAAAAAGAAATCGGTAAGAAAAAGAAACAGATTAAGCAAAAATCATTTGGTATAAGAATACCAAATGATTGGTATTTTGATTGCTGTGCAAGATTTTGAGATCTCTGCAGTTTACATGAATAATTTAGGAGTTTTTTTTTTTTTTGTTTAAGTGTAGTGTTTTTAATGTATTTTAGCATTAAAAAAAGACAATCAAAATTTACTTTGGTGTCATTTATTCAATTTATTTTCTAATTGAAATAGCACTGTGTAAAGTTTTTTTTTTTTTTAGGTACTATACCTTAAGAAGTTTTTTCCTTTGGGATCAGTAAAGTATTTTTGTTTTTGAATTTAAACCAAGGCTTCTAAAGTAAATGCTAAAGTGTCTTTTCTGTGAATTGTAAGTGACACAAGGTACTCAAAGTATATCTTGTCAACACAATGTGTTTCACTTGGTGAATTTAGTTAATGGGATAATTAACTTTTCAATAATATTGCAATTTACTGACTATAGCTGTAAATAGCTCGAGACTTCATCATCTCGCGAGACTACCTATAGAAACGTACATAAATTGGGTCTACTTCATTTTCTGTATCTCGCGCGCGAGTCGGAAAAAATTTAAGTAGCGCTCCTTTGATGTGGTATTTATAAAACTTTGATATATTAGTTTGTAATGATTTTTGTAAAAATTTAAAACAAAATCCAGAGAGCCGTGCACGTTGGTGAGCTGACATTTTGAAACAGAGTGCAGACCCCTCCCGCACAACTCGCAAGCGACTGCGCTGACGCTAAAATGATGCGGAGCTCGCGTCAACTTGTCAGGTGACCGAACGGGAAATTTGGTGAAGGAAAGTGCTCAGGAGACGCAGCGATGTCTCGGACAGACGATCGATGTCTCGAATGCTTACAGCGGACGTAACCTTGGATCTCGCGTGTGTTTTGAGTCCGATTTTCTGACTGCGACGTTTTGGAGGGATTTGCGTGCTGTGAACCGCGTCTTCTGAGGGGGGTGAGCCGTGACTGTTTACAATTTTTGGAGCGCTCGTTATGCGTCCGCGCATGAAAACACTGGCCGTAGTTTCACACTTGTTTTCATTCCGACGTTGAGCTGTCGGCTTTTGAGCAGCGTCAGCAAATGTCGAGCGAACGACGACAACGCGACTCTCCTCGTCGACGTGTTTATCTCCGGCCAGGAAGACCATTTATCTCTCTTTGACGGCGTCTTCCCGAAAGCTAGCAGCGAGCTACATGTAGCAGCTGTAGCTGAAACTCCCCTTTTAACAGAAACCACCTCGATAGTCCACATACAGCGCTCTGACGCAGGACTGTGGCATAATTAGCAGTTCAGTCACAACTTAAGTTTCCTTGTGTAACACATTTAAGCAACAATGTAAAACGCCACCAACTTAAGACAACTCCAGTCGCGACTGTCTTCCTGTCCAGTCCGACCTCTTCCCTTTAGTTTCGTTTTATTGTCAGGATGTTGTTGGGACTACTGTAGCCTGAGTCACTCCCAACTGTCGAGTGGGTGTTAGTTAGCTGCTGCTAAATGGATTACTGTAGTATTACTGTAGTTGCTGCTTCAACATGAACGCTGCTCGTGGGCGGTTTAAAGTCCTGTTACATAATCACCTTTTATTGCGACTCAGCGTAATTCGACATTAAAAATTGTAGGGGGAAAAATCACTGTAGAAAAAAGATCTATGTTGAGGAAGTGATTGGAAACCCTAAAAGTTTCATCAAACCAATGCACCAGAGCTGACCTGAGTTTCTAGGAATTAGTTGTTAGTCCATGACTTTTGTTTTCCTGTGTTTAAATGTGAGATGACACTGGGGTGGTTTCTTAGAAATAGGCTGAAGGAGAACTAATTTTATTATGTGTTTAGGCCGGATGGTTGGGAAAAGATAACAAATAGTACTTTAACTGCAGCTGTTTGCTTTGAGGAAATTGAGATTGAGTTTATTACTGAAATGATGGAGGTGGGCCACCGGGAATGATGTGAGAGACCACTAATGTATGTGTGAAAATTAGAAACATTGATCATCGATCAGGAGTTTTGCATCACAGAAGAAGCAAGATGAGAGATCAGACTTTTCTCCAGCAGAAACAATTCATACTGTAGATTCTCAGGCGAACCTGTCAACAAATTTGTAGTGAAGACAAGGCAGAAATCTTGGTTGCTGCTCTGAAAACAGTAATATGAGACAGCACAGATATTTGCAAAATAAAGGACTAATCTGTAGTAAAGGACATCATGTCTCTGGTTTAATATGGCGGGCGAGCTGTGCTGGTTTCTAATCCACAGCTGAGATTGAGAATCTGGTGGATTCTAAATGTAAACTTAAATCAAATCATCATTTTAGCAGGATTATGATCTAAAACATGTTGCCAAATCATCACAGAAATGGTTCACCTGACATAAAATCAGCCATCTTCTATGACCGTTGCATTTCCCAGAGCAAAATCCTAAAAAAAAAAAAAAAAAAAAAAAAACAGTGAAGTGATCTGAAGAGAACATAAAAGAGCAACTGTAACTCTACATAATCTAGAGAGATTGTGGAAGAGTCGACAAAGTTCTGTGCTATTAGTGAAAGTGGATTGAAGCTTTCAGCATGGTAAAAGCTTCAAGAATTGTAGGGTTACCAGAAATTTGTTTAAAAACAATTATTTCTTAAAATGGACATTTTTCCCATAGTAAATAAATACATACACATTGAAAAGTTGGATAAAAAAACAAACAAACAAAAAAAAAACATTTTCCGTGTAAAATTATGCTACTGCAATAAAAAAATTAATTAATTTCAAGGGCTTTTCCACATATTTACCAGGAATAGTTAATCTGTTTGCAAAGATTGGTGCTTGTTTAGTATATTATAGTAATTTTTTGGGAAAAGTCCTTGTTTTGAGTTTGATCTGAGTGACATTCCCACATTTAGAAAACAAAGATTAAAACCATCCTTTTATAAAATCCATGTCTCATTGAGTAGCCAGTCAGGAGTTCACGTGTTATGTTTTTTTTTTTCTTTTCTTTTTTTCCTCCTTTAGGAACTGGCAACATGCTAGCCACGGTGACTGCTGTGGTTACATTGGCTCAGTACAATGACACAGTGTCGCCTACACCTCTGGAGAACACATCTGTATTCCCAACTGAAGGTCAAGCCAACATCACCAAGCCCCACAAATGTCTACAAGTCCTATATGAAGATATCGGAGGCTCCAGGTACGGTGGTGGACGGCCGATTTAAGAACCCTCAATTGTGTAAGGTAGCATCTTAATTTCGACATTTCTGCCTTAGGGTGCGCTTCTGGGACATCCTGCTGCTAGTGCCAAATGTGGCCTTTTTCATATTCTTGATGTGGAAACTTCCTTCGGCGAGGGCAAAAATTCGACTCACTTCCAGCCCTATTTTTGTCACCTTCTACTTGCTGGTAGGTGAAAAAACATTTCGACTGCGGAATGGTTTGTGAAATTTCAGTGACCTTAACATTATGTATATCCTTGTTGTTGGAGATGCACTGATCAAGCTTTACTTTTAATCTCAGTTCCCAGTTTGCATCGAGGTTTGACCTGTTCATTCTAATTTTGAGAAGTTCTAGACTATCACACACAAAAGAGAAAAAAACATCCTGCAGATGTTTTTGTTTGAATTTTTCTTTTTAAATCAATAAATAGAATTGCAAATTAATCCCTATCTATGTATCCAAACACATGGCTAACATTGGTATGATTTTGATTAAACTCAGATAATAGAAGGAGAAAATATATGATGACATTACAGACATCAGATTGTAGGTTTTGATATCAGTTCTCAGAATTTGACCACTTGGGGAAAATTAGCTGATTTTCATCTCTGGCTGAGTGATTGCTACATATCTAATCACTGTCTGATTGCAGTGGTGTGTAGTTTCCGACTAAAGTTTAATCTGGTTTTTGTTTGATTTCATCTTTGAATTGGTATTTAGCCTCTTAAGACTATTACAATTACAATTCCAGACATTAGTGGCTATAGAGTTGCTGGTTGATTCTTCTGGTGTCTCCTTTGTCAACCTTAATCTATAAAAAGTGCCTCCTTCAGCCAAAGTAAGGTTCAAACATATATCTACTGTTATACTATGTTCTTCCTTTGACTGTGTTTGTTCTTGATTTTGCCTGTCCATTTACAACCAGTGCCACACTAAGCAGAATATTCCAGTTATGGCAGAAACAATAATAGAAGCAGAGACAGCTACGTGTTATCAGCTAAACTTTGGTCTGTGTGTGCTCCCGGAAATGGGCTGTGTGTGTGTGTGTGTGTTGTATAATATCGTGTGTACTGTTTCTCTTAGGTCTTTGTTGTCGCAGCAGTTGGAATCACTCGCGCTATTGTTTCCATGACTGTCAGCGCATCCAGTGCAGCCACCATTGTGGACAAAGTAAGAAGAAGAAGAAAAAAAAAGCATAAATAGAACTGTATTTGGGGGAAAGGGGGGAATTGTGAGCACCACTAAGAATACCGATCAGCTTTCTTGTTTAAGAAAAACTAAAACCTGTTCATAAAAATGTACTTACTCATAGGTGTGAGTTAGTTTATTTTGCGTATTGTTGCATTCTGGGAATAAATAACCTTGGGAATTTAATTTTAATGTACATTCATTTCATTTTTCAGCTTATTTCCATTGATTCTGATCTAGTTAAGTCTTTTTAAGTATGAGACGTTATGAACTCCTGATTACACTAAAGTAAAGTGCTTACCGTAAACAATCATGAATAATGCCCTTTCTGTTTACATGTAAACTTCAATTTTTTTTTGAAAGAAGTGAGGTATTTACTAATAAAAAGATTATATATATATATTTTTATTTAGGTAACTGAGATATTGTTCATTAATAACTCTGCTTGTATCCAGGCCTTCATGTATGAACGGAAATGCTGGGCTTGCATTCCATACATGCCAGAGAGATTCCTACTGATTTACAGTGCTGGATTGGTTGTTCTCATAACACTCTGTCATGGCTGCCGCGATTCCGGGCTTTATGACTCCATAGACCCGTGAGGGCATGCCTGTGTTGTAAAGAAAAACATGTTGGAGGATGTCTGATCTGCTTTTCTGCTGTGGTATCTGACAAGGTCTGTTGCTTCTTCAGGTGCTGTGGGAAATCACCCGCTTCTTCCTGCTTGCTATTGAGCTCAGCGTCATCATCCTGGGACTCGCCTTTGGTCAGTTTGCTCCGTTTGTTTCAGTTCTCGTTTTCTGCATTCTCGAAACAGTGTTCCCTGTTTCGAGGCAACTCGAAACAGGAGTCCACTGAAGTGACTGTCATCTCTTATTGTAGTTGTGAGCATAACTAATGTGTTTTTGTTCTCAGGTCACTTGGAGAGCAAGTCTAGCATAAAGCGTGTGCTGGCTATTACTGCAGTGTTGGCATTGGCATACTCTAGTACACAGGTAATTACGAGTAACAGCATATCAAATGTTATTGGTAAAAGTCAAGAAAGTAAAAATTAAGATGTGTTATCTGATGTATTATTGTAGGGAACATTAGAGATACTGTATCCAGACAGTCATCTGTCCGCCGAGGACTTTAACATCTACGGTCATGGAGGACGGCACTTCTGGTTAGCCAGTTCCTGCTTCTTCTTCTTGGTGAGTAAATTTTATTTTTCTCTTGCATCAACAGTAATTTTTAAACAAACATACCAAAAGTTTATTCATAGCAGACTCATTTTTGACTGGTCACTGTCTTTATTTTTTATTTCTATTTTTAGGTTTACTCTCTGATTGTTGTCCTTCCTAAAACCCCAGTGAGAGAAAGGATATCACTGCCATGTAAGTCTTGGATTTAAACATTCGAAAGGCAAAAAATTTAAAGTGCAAATGAAACTATATTGTTACTGTCAGGGCTCCTTTTTGTAATACAGAAAAGCTTAGAAGTTGACAAATCTCTCAGCCATGGAGAAGTATGAAAAGACAAAATAGAGTATGAAAAAATATTTGTTTATAGACTTTATTTCCTGTCCCAGCGCATGTACGTTTTATCAATATGTCAATTTGTAGTATGTTCCTAAATTGTAGCTGGTCTTAAATTAGTGATTTTCTTCACTTATTCTAATCCATTAATATTTTTAAAAAATTGTTTTTAATTAGCTGGCGGCATTGTATTTACACTGGGTTTTATTTCTAATATAAGAAAACTACAAACCCCAACATGCACGAAAGCAGTCAGCTCTGTCGAAATGAATTAATCCCCAGACATTCAGCTTTCCCTGCAAACCTACAAAATATCACTGCTGAATCTGGCTTATTCCAGGCTCAGGCAATAAGAAAGAAAATCCTCCTGGTTAGGTTTTAACATCCAGCTTCTATGTCATGGGGAAGTGTGTATTTGCCAAAACTTGGCTTGAAAACAGGGATTTCACATGTTGGCTTAAACCTGTAATCATGAACTGCTATGACGTTTACTAAACACATTAGGCGCTGAAGATGGCCAACGCGGGTGTAAAAACACAAATTTTGAGTTATTCAAAAGCTTTAAGTTAAACTTACTGACAGTTGGACACACACTGTATTTAATATCTAAATGAAGTTGAAATGTCTTCTTCAAATGTATGACAAAATGTTTTTTTTTTCCCTTTTGAACATTTATGTAAAAAGATCTTAGAATCCTGGTTTTAAAAAAAAGAAAACATATGTCATTTTGACAGCACAATCTGAACTGTATAGTAATTGAACGAGTTCTGGTTCTTCTTTCATTGAGGCTCAACTTACAGACTATATCAGCAGCATCTGACTGTCATAAAAAGACAATGTAATTAATGACGGAGGTCTCTTTGAAACAAGATGAGTTATCTCTTCTGATATTAATTTTAAACCAAAAGTAAAAGCAGCAGCTGTCAGTTAAAAGGAACACATGTGCAGAAGAGGTTTAGTTTCACTTTATTAAAAAAAGAAAGGAAGAAAAAGATCAATTCAACAAATGCCTCTGTAAGAGACCTGGAAAATGTAAGTTTCTTGGGTCAAATAAAAAGTGGAACAACACAACTCACACAGACAGATTATTGCTGGATGTACCCACATTCAAATGACTGCTTTGATTTTTATGGTTCTTTGTTTTCCTTCCTTTGTCAAGCCAAGAGGAGTTTCTACGTGTACGCAGCTATCCTGTCTTTGCTGAACTTTGTTCAGGGTTTGGGCAGCGCTCTGCTGTGTGCTGGGATTATAGAAGGACTTTGGTTAGTATTTTCTCCTTTGCTGCATGTGAATATATCGTCACTGTTTTTGTGATGTGAAACTGAGTTAACCTTGTTCATAAATGACTTTAAGTGACTGGATTACTACAATTTGTTTTTACCAGTAAGAACAAAATGTTGGTTTTGCTTTAGCTTGTAATCTCATTGCTCTGTGTAGCTTTTACTAAAACTGCTCACTGTTTGTCTTTTTTGAACCAGCTGCGTGGATGTCACCACCTTCCTGTATTTTTCTGCCTTTGCTCCGCTCATTTATATCACATTCCTCAAAGGATTCTTTGGGTATGTACAAATGATGTGGAACCATGTACAATTTCACAACTTGATTCTCAAAATAAAAGACTGTAAAATTTACTTAAATCTTATGTTAGCTAACATCACATATGCTAGTGATAAACTGAGAAAGTGGCTGTAAAAAAAGTGGAGACATTTCAGTGTGAGCTGAACATTGTTTTTGAGCTGAAAACAATGTCGTTGTGATAGCTGCTTAAATCCTAAGGACACAATAGTTGACTAAAATCAAAATCAGCTGATTAAAGCTTCATGAGAAATAACAGAGAAAATTCTGATGGATTCATCTAACTATCATCGTGTTGACTTTTAAAAATATGTTGTATTAAAACACCCATTCTCTTTCTATGTGACAAATCTTTTTTTTTTTTTTTTGGCCACTCTGTTCGCAGTTCGGAGCCAAAGATCCTGTTCTCCTACAAATCACATGTGGATGAACCAGATGAAAGCGATGTCCACCTTCCTCCAACCATCGCCGCAACCCTCGGCCGCAAGGACTTGACCGACCAGGGCCTGTACTACTCTTCCACCCAGATCGATGGAGCCGGTCCCGGCAGCTCTCGCGTGGTCGGAGCGTACCTGGACGACGTCGCGTCGGGACCGTATGGGTCAAACAGCATCGAAGCCGATCGTTGGAGACCTATCAATGTGTGAAAGGATTCACAGCTACACGTTGTGTTGGATGAAAAGAGTTTGGCAGGACGGAGATCAGAGATGTGTTGCTGAGCCAGTTGCCTGGACAACAAGAAACTATGATCTTGGCCTTTCTTTGATGCCAGGGTGGTTGAAACAAATGGACACTTAAACAGAGACTGTTTTGTGAAGGACGCTTGATTTGTGACACTGTTGCCGGAGTGCTCTGCTGCTGTTGCCGCACGCCGAGGTTGCTCTCTCTATTGATTCTGCTCCACGGGCCCTTCGATGTTAGTGCTTATCAATTTGTCTCAGCGCATTTATTCTAACTCCAGCACTAAATATCAACACCTCTGTTCTTATTTATCCAGTTTAAAGCCAGTTTTAGATGCCCGATTTTGCTAAATCTGACGCGTGATTTAGTAATGCGACACTTGACGTTTTTGCCGAAAGGTCTGAGGCCCAATATGAAGGAGTTAATGTGCTGTTTTGTACTGTTAAGAGTTCTAGCTGAGATAGTCAGTCGTGTTTTTGAGCACAAGCATTTAGTTGTGGGTTGGTCATCCAATATATTTGCTTTCTTAAAAAACAATAAACCACGTAGCAACTCCTAAACACAAGCATTAAAAGCATCTGCGACACAGGAACAATCCCGAAAAGAAATTCCATTTCCCTGAAAATCTTTGTATTCTTTGATTGTGTTTATACTTTATCATTTCTGCCTTTGCTTTATAATTTTTATACAAAGAAAATAAGAAAAAAAACATTCCTGCCTCTTCATAGACACCTGTGGGCTCTGTAGATGCCGTAAGAAACTCATTATGTGTGATCTAAATAGCAAGCCTGCTTCTCATATGTTCTTCCTTTCATTTTCTTTGCAGAACTTGTAGTATTGTGTTTTTGAACAAGAGGCTACTAGTGCAGTTTATTTGGTGTGTTAATTCAGGACCAGCTGTTGTGAGAGCAGAAACGATGTTGCTCAGTCTTAACGTATTTAAGATAGTGTTAAAAAAAAAAAGTCTTGTGATATAATTAGAGCTTTTGATTTCCAGTGAGCAAAGAGAAATTATAACACAGGGAATCTGAGGAACTTTCCTTTTTAAGAACAAAAAAAAAATAGTTCAGTTCCTTGCGCATTTATTTAAAAGAAAGTCTTATACCTTTTTGTATGTATTCAAATCACATCATATACATACCAGCTGTGGAATATAATTCAAAATTTCCCCCCAAAATGCAGCGTTTCCTATGGATGACTTGCATATTTAACTTTTTAGTTTTATTTGGTTGTGATTTGTGTCCCGAAAGTATTAGGTTACTTTAAAAAAATAAATAAATAAAAATACATAAAGTAAGAACACAGTGCAGGAAGTATGTTTTTGAAAGTATTTGTTTGACTTTGAAATACATGATGTACAATTACAATTGCTGCTGAATGACGTTGACGAGCTTGGGAGAAAAGTTTTTTTTTTTTTTTCTTGACTTTAAACAGTGCATTGCCAAGAAACAATATTCTTTTCAGACACCAAATCTTTCATAGTGAAGTTTTGCAGGTGGTGCTTTAATTACAATGTGTTGGCCATTCCATGTGCTGCAAAATAAACTCTGGACTTTTTCCTCTATTGTGTTCATTTTTGCATTCAAGTTTTTTAAAGAATGAAAATCTGAGTTTTCTCCATTCTGGTAACTGAACCTCTAAACACTTGCTTAAAGAAACAGTGGTGTATTTTTTTGTTTGTTTTTTTTGTTACACAAACAAATGTACACTGATAATGAAAACCAGAGAAATTAAGTATAGATATCTACTGCTGCATTTAACAAAATTATTTGAGTAAGTATACCAAAGGGGAAATAAATTCTACTTTATAAATATCTTTGGACTTAATTTGTCTGCAATTTGAGCTGATCAGTTGGAACAACACTGCAGGGTCAGATATGTAAAGACAATGATACTGCAGGTACAATCATGGTTTGGACTGTGGAAGTTTTTTTAAATTAATTTTTTGGCAGAAGTAGTGGGTGTTGCAGTAATTCTGTACAAGGAGAAAAATGTTTGGACTTGAAAATTGTTTTAATAGAGTACTTGGATCTCACAATATGGATTCTATGTTGACTTGAAATCTCAAAGATCATTCATTCAATGGGTCATTGCTTTCTTCTATTGAGGGCTTAAAGTTTTACTATAAATAATTAGTAAATATTGATATTTGTGACAATTTAAATGACTAATATAATCAGAAAATAATAAAGCTGTGATATATCTGTAAAATCTAAAACATGGCTAAATGTTTCAATATGTAGTTAAATATAGAAATGTTATAAACAAGATTAAACCTTTTGGTTTTTATGCATTAATTTCATAATTATTTCAGTTATTCAGTTATTTATTTCTACTACAGTTCATCCTGAAATATTTTAGAGTCACTTTGTGGCATCGAACAAACTTCATTGTCTGATTGCTTAAATTGTGTAGCTAGTAGAGTTATCCTTGCACTATGACTTTTACAAGCTGGGTTAGACAAATAAAGAAAATACAAAAAAAAAAAGAAATCACCACGGTGTTTTATTTTATAAGGTCCTAAGGTTATCTTAAGTATGTCTGACAAGCTTTAAAGTTCAAACAATGTAAACTTTAAAAGTCGTCAAGCCTACAACTCCCATTATGCTTTGCAGCACGTCTTAAGCTACTCACACTCCATTGGATGCGAATTATTTCCTGTAACCAATGAGCGTTGAGGATACTGGAACTCCGAAATGACCTTTATTGGAGTATATTGACAAGTCGTTGCTGTGGCGCCGACTCCGACTACCGTGTCATTAATGTCTACCTGCTGTTAGAACCGTTAATAAGCGAGGTTGTGATTTTTTATTTTATCCCGTGGAGACGGGCAGCTATCCACTCAGGATGGGAGGAAATGGGAGCAAAGCGAGGACTGTATCTTTCAGGCTGGACGAACACGAGAAGGTCACAGTAGTTGAAGGAGTGAAGGTATTTAATTAGCTGGTGGTATAGCCAGTCGACTTTAAGTGATTAGACATTCCAATGGATGCTAATATAATTGTGGAGGTGTTGAGGCTGAGGTTGGTCCTCGCTATGTAAGCCAGACTGGTTCATGATGTTTCCTAAATGAACTAGGATTTTTCTATCTTCTCGTGAATGTAACGCACGTTTAACTTTATATTGAATTAAAATCAGTTACGTCTGTAGCTAGTAACGTGGACGTTTATAGCCTGTGTTACTGTTAGCTTGTATGCTATATCAACTAAGTAAACTGTCAGGGGGCGAAATAACTCCCCCTAACAGTTTAACTGTCAATGAACCGTTTATTGACGGTTTGTTGACTGTCAATAAACACAGGGGTAAACTAAGCGCATTCTTACTTATTTTATGAGGGAAGGTAGCAGCCAGATGTCGCTATTTAAATGTACTTGATTATTTAGCACAACACAAAGGCAAATGATATTAGCAATGACTCTGGCGACGCATTTGCGATCCATAATTCTGTAAAGTGTTTACTATCAGAAGGTTCTACCTGGATATAGGTAGAAGTGTTGACATTCAATTATCTGGAGAATACAGGTGGATTTCAACACATCTGCTCCATATGGAGACAATTTCTCCTATCCAGCAGTTTTGATCAGCAAATGGGATCAAAGCAGGAGTCTTTGCACTTTAGTGATATGTAGCATGCAGGTGTGTGTGAAACTACAAACAGTAATTTTGTGCTTACGGTTATAAAATTAAAAATAAAATGGGATTTAAAAATCTTCTTGGGCTGCCACCTCATTGTGACGGAGGGATTTGAATGCCCCAATGATCCTAGGCGCTATGCTGTCTGGGGCTTTATGTCCCTGGTAGGGTCACCCAAGGCAGACAGGTCCTAGGTGAGGGACGACACAAAGTGCAGCCCGAAGACCCCTTATGATGGACAAGAACTTTGGACATGGTGTTCCCTTGCCTGGACTCAGGTCACCGGGGCCCCACCCTGGAGCCAGGCCTGGTAGCCTTTGGTGAGGGATGCTGTCAGTCTGAAGAAGGAGTAGGGTCTTGATCTTGAGCCAGAAAAGGGTAGAGTCTCTTCTCCGAGCGCTATACCAGTCTGTCGTGAAGAGAGAGCTGAGTCAAAAAGAAAAGCTCTCAATTTACCGGTTGATCAACGTTCCCACCCTCATCTATGGTCAGAAGCTTTGGATCACGACCTGAATAACAAAATTGCGGATACAACCGGCCGAAATGCGTTGGATGGATGGAAAAAAAAAGTTCATTTCTCTGCCTTTCCCTGATCCACAAAAGAAAAAGCTAACATATTTTGTCTACAAGAATAACTAGTGGAATAATTGTCAAGGAGCAGGATTAGGAACTGGTATACTGTTTGTCTTGATGAGACAATAATAACATGTCATAACGAAGTTCATGTTCTTATGTTATATTTCTGGTCCAGCTTTCTGAGAATGTCCGCCGGCGGATGAGGGAATCTGCTGGTTCGGAAAGAACTTGGAGTTTGCCATCTGGTCCAGACATTAAAAAGACATCACCAAGTATGCCCGAAGTGCGACATTTCTTGTATCACACATTTTCTATGCAGTCATTATTCCGAAGATTACCTGGAAAAGGGAAAATCATTTGTAATTGTTTGTCGTATTTAGATTTTATTGAAAAATTTAGACCACACAAAAAGCAAATAATCTACAGACTTAACTCAGTACATTTCTGAGAACATGTTATTGAAATGTAAAAAATGTTAATATGTTTATGTTTATTTAAAGTGTTATTTAGAATATACAAACTGGTTCAGGCTTAAACTTGAACCAGTTATTCTTGTCTATAAACTGTTGATACTCATCTATTATATTATTGTTAATGTTGATATTTACTTTTTGATGTTTAGGTTCAAAATCTGCAGAAACATCATCTTTGCAGACACAGGAAGAGATGCGTAAAAAGTAAGTGTTTCGTTTCTTTCAAAATGTCAACGTCACTACATTGGTTTGTTCATCGTGGTTTACGGTGTAACATTCATTTCTGCACCTTGATTTGACATTTACTATGCCATGTAAAATACCCATGACTTAGTTTCTGTGATGCTTAAGATTTTAAAACACAAGAAGTATAATCAAAAAGTAGTTGCCCCCTCAAATGTCTTGTTTTTTTCTCTTCATCCAATAAATTTCAACAATAGAAAAAAGCTGGTTTAAAATGATGAACAGAAATGACATCCAGTAACTTCCAAGGCTAAAACCACACACAGTTTAGCACATAGTACAAGTTAAAGTTTACAAAAAAATAAACATCTTTATAATCCCCAATACTTTTGGGAAAATATTCTGTGGACTGATGAGATGAAAGTGGGACTTTATGGAGAGTTTGATGCATCACGTTCTTTCTGATATAAAAGTATTTCAGTAAAGGATCAGCTATCAACAGTAGCGTGATGGCATAGAGCTGCTGCTTCTATACTAGGACAATCTCAGGGGGCTATATTTGGACAGCAGATTGAAGTTGAGAATAAGTGCAAGCGCACTTGAGTTATGCTGCAGGAAAATTATGTAAAGCACACAAACCAATAGGTTCTCAAGCATCAGAGAAACTAAGATCATGGGTATTTTAGATGACCTATTTACATTATGCTATGCTATCATGTGGTGTGAGCCATAAGTGCCAAAAGAGTGTACGTGAGGGGTCAGTTGCGAGGTCAAGTTTTCCAGTCAGACCAGTCAGAACTTTGACAATTTTATTTAATTTGAAGAGAATTAAGTTTAGGATTGTCTACTTTTTTAGGATGTGAAAGTAAGCTGTTGCTTTAAATAAAAAGATGTTGCTTAAAATGATTTAAATAAAAAGCTAAAATAACAATTTAAACTACTTTTTAATTCCCTTTATTTAACATGAAATGTTTCAGAATAATTTAATCAACGTTATTAGGGCCGTTGTGGAGGCCCTGAAGAACTGCTCCTGGCTTTGGAGCTGCTAGTTGCAGAATTTAACCTATGGCGTGTCTCTTGTTTAAGATACTGCCCCCCTCAGGCTGCTATATAAACAGCAGTGGGCTGTCGGGTGACGTGATGAAGGCAGCTGTTGCACAAATATCACCTCTCTCACCTTTCTGATCTTAGTGAACATTTCCTCTTGGTTAAAGTGAGGCAAAACAAAAGCAGTAAACCACTTAAGCTATAAAGTGAAACTAAAAAAATCCCAAACTTAAATGGATTTATTCCTTGTCATCTGACAGAAAAATATTTTTGCCATCCGATTGTCATCATTGTGAAGAAGTTAAATATGCATATGAGAATGATAGCTTGTTTTCTAAGTGGCCTCTCCATGAATTGTCAAATGTTAACATCTTAAATCTTTCCTGACGTTAGCTATGAGCGTCAACAGGCTCTGCTGGAGGAGCAGCTGGCCAAGCTCAGCCAGAGGGAGAGAGAGTCTTCAGCCATCAAAGACATGGATAGGAGCAGCCCTTCTGCATACGGAGAGAAAAGTTATGAAAAGAGCGACGTACTGGTGAGTATGCTGTCTGGTTCTTTGGATCTCGATTGTACACAATCCAAATAAAACATAACTCACTGACCAGTCTCAACAAATAAATCTTTTTTCTCTTGTTTTAATGAAATTGAATATTATGAACTTTATACCATGCTGCCAATGCTTCCAGCTCTAATAGAAATCACATAAATGTTCACAATCCTCAATGATGCAATAGAATTAGAAATTCAGCACTCCTAAAAGATATATTTGCGCAATTTCTGTCAGGACCACCGAGTCCACCTGCATGCATTGCATTTATTTACTTGAGCGTAAGTCGAGAGTAATTGACAAGCTCTCGGGTTACACAGTACAATAATGTTTAGATGCCTCCGTTGTTGATGATGCTTGTATTTGACAGGTTAGAGCAGCAGACACAGAATTGTGTCTGAGCATCGAAGCGAAAGGAAATGGAAGCTTTTTTGCTTTAAGGTGATAATAGGTGTGAAACAGATGCTTATAAAGTGTGTGAAAGGTCTAGAGAGCATGAGGTGCAGAGTGTTTATGTGACCCCACTCCACCTTTTTATTTGCACCTTTTCTTCTGTCTCACCAGTGCTTTTTGCTCGCTCTCACCTTTAAAACCTGTTTCCGTCTGAACAGATTCATTCTGCCCACCTTGATTTGTCCCTTTTGCTTAAAATTAAGCTTCAGTTCATCCAGACAAACAATGGAGCCAAACCAGGCAGAAGCCACTCCTTAGTTTATAAATGAAAAACTCTTTTTTTTTTCTTTTGTCTTGCAACGGTTTTTCAGGAAATTGTTAGAAGTCTGATTTACAAGCTTCCACAACTTCAAATTTCACTGCTCAGCAGGTAAGCGTCCCTGTCATTTTCAGCACTTCCTAGCAGCATCGACACAGCTGGAAGCTCAGAAACACGCTTCACTTTTTCTATTCTTATACGCTTTACAACAAAGCTTTTCAAGTTGGTTGGAAGTGCTTTATTTATGTGAGTGGAAGCCAGATGAGCAACTGAAATCATACGTTTGCTCACAGACTCTATTGTGGCACCATCACAATTATACACACACGAGTACATATAGAGCTACCCCCTCATCCTTGTGTGTGCGCGTGCATGTGTGTTTCAACACATCCTCTCTGGGCTTCCCGGCATGCAGGTTACGTGTCACTGTTGGGGTGATGAGGAGGTTAGGGAAGTGTGAAGGCTATACCTGTCGAAGAGATGAGCGGCTGGCCGCCATGCCTCGGGCTGCCTGTCACAAATGCTCAAATTAGCCATTTACCCCTGCCTTAGCTCCGACATTCACTGCTGAGATTCATCATGTGTGTGTGCGTCTCTGTCAGTAGCTGTCACTGCATGTGCATTGGACACCTGTGTGTACGTGTAAATAGGAGGAGTGTGTGTGTCTTGTTGCAAAGAGTTCATAGACGGGTCAGTCATACTCTTTTCTGTGATGTGGTAAATAAAATTCAGCAGACTTTAGTTCTACATGTTTTTATTTCCTGCTCGTTTCTTTGATGTTTCAATATGCAAGCAGCTGTCTGTAATTTGCTTGTGTTTTTCTGATTGCTAACGTGCAGATAAACGTCTCTAACAGCAGTAAGCTAGGAAGCTTTTCTTTTTCCCGCTCCACTTACTAACTAAAACACTGTTAGTGTGGCGAAATCGGTTAGTCTGAAATGCCACTAGCTGTTTTCTTGTTAATGTGCAGGAAAGCTCCTCATGTTTACACTGGCTTGCATGGATTCTCATTGCACTTGATATTTATCACATTTCAGGACATTTCAAACACAAACATGAGTGTAATTTTTGTGATGCTATTTGTTTACGTAAATAATCATAAAGTAGAGGAAAAACTACATGCAGTTTTATTTATTTATTTTCTGAATCAGTCCTCAGTAGACCCACATTTTTCTGCAATTTACAGCTTCAAGTCTTTGGGGTATGTCTGCCCGGTTTGTGCATCTAAAGACTGAATTTTCTACTTACATTTATTGATATTTATATATGCTTTCGTGGAACCATGTGTAACAAATTATTCAGACATTATCACACATTATCATAGTAATGATAAACAACACAATTATTACCCATACTTACTTCTCAACATCCTCGTCTCTGCTGAAGTGAAGCAGTGGCAACAAGATGGTGGCCTTAAAGGTGGAGAGGGTCTTTTCATTCATTGTGTTTGTTTTCTACCCTACAGGGTTTTTCATGTTCAGTTTGGCCTCATCTGACTATCTGACATTCGTTTTCATATGTTTGCTGTGTTACTGACATGGATTGTTGCAAACAGGGCTTCTAATGGCGTTCTTGCAACAATGATGTTCTTAATAATCAATCGGTTGTCTGTATAGCTGCTTGTCAAGTAGGCCAGTTAACAAGTTCGTAGATATTACTTGAAATTCTATGAATTTAATAGGTAAGTTAATATCTATCATAGATATACTGTAAGTATCTATGATATTTGAACATATTTCTTCAAATGAATATATATGAAAGATGATGAAGTGTTTCTTTTGGATGAGTTTTCTTTCCACCTAAATGCTTTATTAACCAAGGAACTATTATGGTTTATCATTTGACTTCTAAATCTTTGTTCCTACATTTATGTTAGCTGACATGCATCTCATTAGCTGACTTCCAAAGTATAGAACTTGAGTTTTTCACAATGCCATTCTGTCTTGTCTTAGGTCTATATTTAACTGTTAAACCTTGAGTGAAGATGTGGGGAAAATAGAAAGTTTCATTAACACCTCCTGTTCTCTCCTTTGTTGTATCTCCTGTGTTTCTTTCTCTCCTCCCTGTCTTTTCTCTTCACCTCGGGGGGTGTCATTCCTGAAGCAGGAAAAATGTCATTAGTACGCCCAGGTATTCAGTGCTAAACATCTCACACACACACACGCACACACATGCACCAAATTTAGGCTTTTGAGTTTGAGAAGTCTGTTTTCCGGCTGAGAGGAACAGAATTTCCCACCTGTCTGTTGGCTGAGGGTGAAGGTTTGTACTGTAATATCAAAGCAGTCTTTTATTCCCAGTGAAAACACAACAATAACATTACTTGCTGCAAATTGAATTAATTTTAAAAGATAATTGCAGCAGAATATCTTCTGGGAAAAACCAGAAATTTGACAAAACACAGACAAATATGAATTTTAGAAGACTTGCACAGCAATATCAGAACTATTTTATTTGCAGTACTGCATGGATTTTGAATAATCTGAATTCAAGAGGAATTAATAACCTGGGAGATATTTTTTTTTTATTTTACAGTGCCTCTCTTTGGCATTTCTCTACATTTTATGACTTTACAACTTTACAGAGATTCCTTGATGTTAAGTCTAACTATGCATTTCCAATTGAATTAGTTTTGACTAGGCCATTAACTCATACAATTTGCTGTCCCATCGTTTCTCTTGCTGTATGTTTAGGGCTGTTGGGTTGCCAGAAAGTAAATCTGTGACACATTCTCAAGTGTTTTGTATTTTCTTATGGATTCTTAACAGCTTCCCTCTCTCTGCTAAAGAAACACAACCCCACAGGATGATACTACCACCACTGTGACACTGTGATATGAAGTTCTAGATGTCCTCCACAGCTAAACTTTTGCATTTAGGCCAAAAGTTCAAATCTTATCTGAGCAGGACACCTGCATTTGTTTTTCAAGTCTCCTTGTGGCTTTCTTCTGGCTAGCTTTGTTTTCATGTAGACCAATTATCCCACCGTAGCTGTGGATTTGCTTTATCCTCTTTTTTGAAAATTTACTGAAAAACTTCTTGGCACCTTGGTACCTTATCCACTAAGAACTTTGTGGATTTAATGTCACAAAATGTGACAGTTCAACAGGGTCTGAATACTTTCATCCTAACAGTTGAGCCTGAAGAAAAGCTCTGCATCAAGAGCAGCTTGTAACACCTACAGCCGACTAAATCTGACAGGTTTTATTCATCCGTAAAGAATGACACCGTCTGTAGGAGGATCTTTTTGGTTTTGTGGTTGAATCACAACGTGTAAGAACAGATTTAACACCCTTTTGTTCACTTCTTATGTCCTTCTTGTGAGATTCTTTGGTCTGTGTGTGTAAAGCACACCTCATGCTCTCTAATGTCTTTTGTTATTTATCGCTACATTACATTTTCAGCAGTTGCAGTACCGTTTTGTTGAGGTTTGATATGCCCATTAATATTTTTCCAAAGTGTGTTGGTTCCAGTGTAGCAAAAACATGTAGTTTTGTGAATAGGCACTAGATGGCATTGTTGTAACATTTTCATTCCTGGTAGGGGATTAAAATTAAGATGAACCCGGCCCTGCTCTGCAAAATGGGCTGCTGGGCAACATGTTCTCCTAGATTCCTTCCTCCTGTGTGTTTTTGTGTGTTAGTGATGAGACATGGAAATGCTCCTGATACTGTCTCAAGAGAAATTATTTTAAAAAGCAGGCTGAAAAGCTTGGCATTCGTTAAAGTCAGACCTGAGATTACAAGCCTTCAGTTCACAGGCGGTGGTGCCACACATGTTAACAATGTGCTGCCTTGCTGCTGTGTATAAACCACCAGGAAGTGACACTTCACTGGAGTGTAAATGTCGTGTTTTGCACTGAATATGCAGCTTTCAGCTACAAGATGCTAACCAGCCGGCTCCCCTGCTGTCCCACTTTAAAAGACATTTGTCAGTTCTCCCCTGATACCCCCCCGTTTTTAATCTAACTTCAGTTCATTTTTTACTTGCATTGATTTTTTTTTTAACCATTACATTTTAATTGAATTTTCTTTATCTCCATGATTACAAACAGGCATTACACGTCTCTACTGTTATTAATTAGCACAGTTATTTATTTACTGACTCATCCCTTCCTGATAACCAGCCTGAAGCAACGTTATTTTCTCAACTATTATCCTTTCAGCAGATTTGGAGATTTATTGTTTTATGTTTTAGCAGAATAAATGGAAATGTTAACTGTATTGTTGCTCTGAAAGAGGAAGATTGTCCTTCTATAAGACATCGGTCTTTGATAG